AGGTAGCTCAGGATGGGGAAGGCCATGGAGGGCCTAGTGAAGGAACAGGCCCCCAAGGCCTCCCCGACCCACTAAGATACCTCATGCTTCCACCTCCCTTCCTGCTGCCCTAAACTCACCTTGAAAAGATCCATCTCCTCTCTGCTGCAGTTCCTGCTGCTGCCTGGATCTGAGCCTGGGGGAACCTTCCATGGCCCTCTGGCGGCATGATCTGGGTGCCGGAGGCCTTCTCCAGTTTTTCATACTTACAACCATTGCAGCATCCCTGTAGTCATGTGATCAAAATTTGGACGCTTGGCAACTGGCAATTGCAGTGTCCCAAGGTCATGTACTCTTCATGGATTACTGCCGTCATGATGAGGGGGCTTGTGTAACTCAATGAAGCTATGAGCTATGCTATGCAGGGTCACCCAAGATGGACAGGTCATAGCAGAGAGTTCTGACAAAATGTGATCCACTGGAGAAGGAAATGGCAACCCACTCCAGTATCTTTGCCATGAAAACCCCATGGACAGTACCAAAAGGCAAAAAGATATGACGCTGGAAGATAAGCCCCTCAGGTCGGAAGGTGTCCAATATGCTACTGGGGAAGAGCAGAGGGCTAGTATTAGTAGTGCCAGAAACAGTGAAGTGACTGGGCCAAAGCCGAAAGGACGCTCAGCTGTGGATGCATCTGGTGGTGAAAGGAAAGTCTGATGCTGTAAAGATCTTTTCTCCATAGGAACCTGGAATGTAAGATCCATGAATCAAGGCAAGCTGGACGTGGTCAATCAAGAGATGACAAGACTCTTAGGAATCAGCAAACTCAGAGGACCATCAGGTTTACTACTGCGGGCAAGAATCCCTCAGAAGAAATGGAGTAGCCTTCATAGTCAATAAAAGAGTAGGAAAAGCAATACTGGAATACAATTCCCAAAATGACAGAATGCTCTCAGTGTGAATACAAGGCAAACTATTGAATATCACAGTAATCCAAATCTATGCCCCAACCACTGGTGCTGAAGAGGATGAAATTGACCGGTTCTGTGAAGCCCTACAGCACCTTATAGAATCAACACCAAAAAATGATGTCCTTATCATCATGGGGGATTGGGATGCTAAAGCAGGAAGCCAAAAGATAACTGGAATAACAGGCAAGTTTGGCCTTGGAGTACAAAATGAAGCAGGGCACAGGCTGATAGAATTTTGTCAAGAGAATACGATGGTCATAGCAAACACTTTTTTCCAACCACCCAAGAGATGGCTCTACACATGGAAATCACCAGACGGTCAACACAGAAATCAGATTGACCATGTGCTCTGCAGCCAAAATGGAGAAGCTTTATACAGTCAGTAAAAACAAGACCAGGAGCTGACTGTGGCTCAGACCATGAGCTTCTCGTTGCAAAATTTAGGCTTAAATTGAAGAAAGTAGGGGAAAACACTAGACCACTCAGGTATGAACTAAATCATATCCCTGATGAATATACAGTAGAGGTGACAAATAGATTTAAGGAATTAGATCTGATTGACAGCGTCCCTGAAGAACTATGGACGGAGGTTCGTAACATTGTACAAGAGGTAGAAACTAAAACCATCCCAAAGAAAAAGAAATGCAAGAAAGCAAAATGGCTATCTGAGGAAGCTTTGCAAATAGCTGAGGAAAGAAGGGAAGCAAAAGGGAAGGGAGAAAGAGAAAGATACACCCAATTGAATGCAGAATTCCAGAGAATAGCTAGAAGACATAAGAATGCCCTCTTAAATAAACAGTGCAAATAAATAGAAGAAAACAATAGAATAGGGAGAAGCAGAGATCTCTTCAAAAAAATTGGAAATATGAAGGGAACGTTTCATGCAAAGATGGGCATGATAAAGGACCAAAATGGCAGGGACCTAACAGAGGCAGAGGAGATTAAGAAGAGATGGCAAAATTACATAGAAGAACTATACAAGAATGAGCTTAGCGCTCCTGATAACCACAATGGGGTGGTCACTAACTTCGAGCCAGACATTCTAGAATGTGAAGTGAATGGGCCTTAGGAAAGCTCAGCAACAACAAAGCTAGTGAAGGTGACAGTATTCCAGCTGAGCTATTCAAAATCTTAAAAGACAACGCAGTAAAAGTGCTACACTCAATTTGCCAGCAAATTTGGAAAACTCAACAGTGGCCACAGGATTGCAAAAGGTCAGTTTACATTCCAATTCCAAAGAAAGGCAATGCCAAAGAGTGTTCAAACTATCGCACTATTGCACTCATTTCATATGCAAGTAAAGTTATGCTTAAAATCCTACAAGCTAGACTCCAGCAGTATGTGGATCGAGAACTTCCAGAAGTATAGGCAGGATTTCAAAGAGGCAGAGGAACTAGAGATCAAATTCCCAACATATGCTGGATCATGGAGAAAGCTAGGGATTCCAGAAAAACATCTACTTCTGCTTCATTGATTATGCTGAAGCCTTTGATTGTGTGGATCACAACAAATTGTGGCAAGTTCTTAAAGAGATGGGAGTACCAGACCATCATATTTGTCTCTTGAGAAACCTATATGTGTGTCAAGAAGCAACAGTGAGAACTGGATACGGAACCACTGATTGGTTCAAAATTGGGAAAGGAGTCCGGCAAGGCTGTATTCTGTCACCCTGCCTATTTAACTTATATGCAGAGCACATCATGAGAAAGGCGGGGCTAGATGAATCAAAAGTTGGAATTAAGATTGCTGGGAGAAATATCAACAACCTAAGATATGCAGATGATACCACTCTAATGGTAGAAAGTGAAGAGGAACTAAAGAGCCTCTTGATGCGGGTGAAGAAAGAGAGTGCAAAAGTTGTCTTGAAACTCAACATTAAGAAAACCATCATGACATCCAGCCCTGTCAATTCCTGGCAAATAGATGGGGAAGAAATGGAGGTAGTGACAGATGGGGGACTGCAGCCAAGAAATTAAAAGACGCTTGCTCCTGGGGAGGAAAGTTATGGCAAATCTAGACAGCATACTTAAAAGCAGAGACATCACCCTGCCAACAAAAGTGCATATAGTCAAGGCCATGGTTTTCCCAGTTGCAATGTATGGCTGTGAAAGTTGGACCATAAGAAAGACTGAGTGCAAAAGAATTGAAGGCCTTTGAACTATGGTGCTGGAGAAGACTCCTGTGAGTCCCCTGGACTGCAAGGTGATCAAACCAGTCAGTCCTAGAAGAGATCAACCCTAAATGCTCTTTAGAAAGCCAGATCCTGAAGTTGAAACTCAAGTACTTTGGCCACCTAATGAGAAGGAAGGATTCACTGGAGAAGAGCCTAATGCTGGGAAAGATTGAGGGCAATAGAAGAAGGAGATGACAGAGAATGAGGTGGCTGGATGGAGTGACTAAAGCAGTAGGCATGAGCTTAAATGGACTCCAGAAGATGGTAGAGGACAGGAAGGCCTGGAGGACCATTGTCCATGGGGTCGCGATGGGTCGGACATGACTTTGCAACTAACAACAAAGGTCATGTAATCATCTTTTGCAAACTTCTGACAAGCACTGTCAATGGAGAAGCCAGATTCACTTAACAACAGTGTAACTAACTTAACAACTGCAATGATTTATTTAACAACTATGGTAAGAAATCTTGTAAAACTCACTTAACAATTGTCTTGCTTAGAAATGGAAATTTGAGGCTCAGTTCTGATCATAAGTGAAGAATTACTTGTACCGTAATAAAGATGTAACTGAGCTATAGGACCACAATGAACAAACCTACAACAAGGTTCAGGTAACCAAATAATTTGATTTGTTAACAAATAAATAGAACATGTAATTGCACCGTTTCATTTTACTTTCTATAGATATCTAGATAGTTAAAATAGAGAAAGATTTTTTTGTGTTCTGCTATCAAGGTTCTGATAGACAAGACCAAACAAATCAGAACTCTGAGGCTAGGGATTTCCTCAAAGAACATGTTTATTGGTTACATAGTATTGGCACAGTCAAAAGTGAAACCAAGTCTGAAATCCCCTCCAAAGAGAAACACTATTACAAAGTTAAACTTCCCATCCCATTGCTATGCAATCAGCTATGTTTCCTAACAGAATAGTTTGGCAGGCTTTCTAACCAAATGCTCACATCCCCCACCTAACCGATAGAAATGACCTTGGTTCCCACGAGACAGTGAAATATTTAGACTAGCAGAAATCCTCCGCTCCCCCTCCCATTCTTGTGGCAACCTAGAATGAGCAAGATAGCTGCAGCCAGATTCGTTGTAGAGTTGACACCTGCTTCTTCTACTGTTACAGTAGAAATAAAGCACAGGTATCAAATTAATGTTACTTAATGGGCACCAATAATTATATATACTATATTATTATGTTATCACAATAACTGTTCACTAAAAAGTGTTCTCTTGTTTTTAAATGTAACTGACTGGTGCTTTTTCCCATATCTTAGAAATAAACTAAATACTTAACTAATAATGCATATTAAATCATTTAATGTTTAAGCAATAAATGATTGAATTTTAATTCATTTTTAAAAGTTAAACCATAGAACTATAGAGCCGAGGTGGCGCAGCAGTTAGAGTGCAGTACTGCAGGCCACTTTAGCTGACTGTGTTCAGCAGGTCAGCGGTTCAAATCTCACCGGCTCAAGGTTGACTCAGCCTTCCATCCTTCCGGGGTAGGTAAAATGAGGACCCAGATTGTTGGGGGCAATGTAAATATATATATACATTGCTTACTGGTGTACACCGCTTAGAGAGTGCTTGCACTTAAAGCGGTATATAAGTCTCATAAATAAATAAATAAATAAATAAATAAGACAAGTTGTAAATTTTCTTAGAATATTTAGTTAAATTATCAGAACACAAATAGTGGAATTAGTAATATAATGTCTCTCTTTTCAAGAATTATGGATTTTCCCCTTCAATTTTTCATCTGTCTTTGTATTCAAGAAAGAAAACTTAAGCAGTTTCTCTTAAAAGAAATGTGTTCATTCTATATCACATTAAAATAATTCCCAAAATAAAACTACATATACCAAGAGTGCATTTTCATAATCAATCAATTCTTTAATATAGTCATTGCACAGTTGGACAGAGACATGATAAAAGAACATAAAGTATTACACAGATATTAAAATAAAGTAAGTCAGAGTACAATATGCATAAAGTATTAAATACTGGGAAAATTTAAAAAGTAATTACTAGATCATTAAAACAAAATACTAGATTACGAACATGGTGAAATGCTGAAATACTACCCTACACATCTCTATCATCCTCATCCCCTTCTCCCTAGCTTTTCTTCTCTTCTGTTCCATTTCTGGATCATGTGGCAGATTACCAAATAGAATTTTGTCTCTAGCCATGTAAGGTTGGGGTCATGAGCCTGAAATAAATTTCAGATCATTGCAATTTCCAGAAAATGTAGTTTATACCTGTAAATTATGAAGCCAACATTGGAGCTTATCAGTCTAATAAGTTTGCCAACCTTATTTTTTTTATTTTGTTTATACAATTTATAGGCCACCCATCTTACCTCAAGCTAACTCTTAAGCAGACTTCCAGTTTGGAAGCCCAGATATTAACATAGGGGCCAAGGTGGAAGAAGACCAAATCTTTCTGAGACCATTCTGTTCAAATTTCCTGCATATACCAGGTGGATGAATTCCTCCCGCTTTCCTACTGGGATAGGAGATCTCAAGTAAAAGAATATAGAAGGGCAGATACTATTTTTCAAATGGAAGAAGGATTGTTGAACTTTGCTGAAGTTAGTAAATGAATCAAGCGCTCCTCTATAGCTCCTCTATAGCTAACTATGTTAGTTTGCAATCAGGTACTTGTACTATTAAAAAAAATTAGAAATATCCAAGTTGATGTTTAGTTACAATTAGCACTGCATTATTCAGGGTTATTTTATACTTAATACTGTCCTTAATTATCTATGAACTGAAATCAGCTCACAAGGAATGCTCCAATTGAGGACTCTGAATACATCAGTGTCTCTACAATAGACGTTCCAAGTTGTAAAATGTGCATCAAATTCAACATTTCTGCCATATTTGCATTAACTACCTTAAATGAGAAGCAGTACCACACCTGTTTAAACTGCAGGATGAAAAACATATTTCTTGCCCTTTTTGATGGAGGCTTGAAGCTCATGATAGTAATAAGCTTTCAATCAGCTTTCTACTATCTACAAATTACAGAAAGTTGTAAATGACAGTCACATAACCAAGGGTAGTCATAGATGTACATGCTCCCCAAATAAATGCCCCTAGAAAATCTCCCTTAGTGACACCATTTAAAATAATCAGATCCAGTCGGCTGAAGACCTGCGCTAAGTACAATTCAGCATAGTTAGATAGCAGCAGATTGCGAATGGCAAACAGCAAAGTGGAAAGATTCTAGATATGGAAGACATTGTGGAAATTCTTTGCATTACTCACCCACTTCTGACACTGAAATTATTGACATATCAATGATGATTAGTTTTAAGCAGATTCTCGGAGGAGGGGGGATGATGCGCAATAAGACTGCAGTGGCTGAATTTTATTAATGTTGCTATTGCAAAATTCAGTGGGGCAAGACCAATTTCTAAAACTTAGAATCTAGTAGAAATAAATATTATAAGCTCCTCACACTGTTGTATCTCTTGCCCTGACTCCCCTTTAGTATCAGAGAAGTCTAATAATATCCATTAAGATGAGTTCCTTCTTGCATCCAGGTCTTCTGAAAAATTATCACATTAAATTTGGCTAAATAAAAGGTAAAGTCAGATTCTGTTATTCTCATCCTCAGGAACTGAAAGCATACTGTACACTGAAGTAGGCTGCCAAGAGTACTACCAGGTACTATTTTTATAAGAATTGATTGCTTTGAAACCTCCCTCTGCATGTCTTCTCTGTTTTTCCTTATGTACCTTCTTGGGCGCTATCCCATCTGATCAATTAGAAAATTACAGCTGAAGGATGCGCAATCCTGTCATACAGTAATTTAGCCTCTTAACATAGGCCTATTTCCCTTCATCTTTTGTTAGTTGAAAGGCATTATTTTCCAGTGGAATGGATGAGTCAATAAAGGTTGAAATAGTAATCCCTGGTCAGACTCCTGGGTTCTATTCAGATAATCCCTACATGCATCCTGTTGAACGTATATACAGAAAGGCTTATTTTTTTTCCTTAGGTGGAATATTAAATGTTCTGCAGAGAAACTGAACATAGCTTTCACAAACTCCAGAAACATTTGTCTGTTTTTGAGGCCTTCTGCTATGACTTGAATGAGCTTTTTTAATATCTTAGCCTACAGAGAATACTGTATATACAAAGACCTGATCTTTTTGTTCTGGAAAGGCATAAAAGGTGGAAGACATCTTTCCTGGTTGTTGTCTTTATTCCTTTGCCAGCCACGAAGAGGAATTAGGCAACCCCTCTCCGTTTTGATCAACAGATGTCTTTTACCTTTTATACCTTTCCAGAACAAAAAGATCAGATCTTTGTACCAGGCATAAGATACCAAAAAACAATTCCAAGATGAAGACTCATACACAACAACCCAGGCTCCATCCGTAACTCCTTTTCCCCCTCTCCTTACCATGCTCTTTTCATATAAGCAATCTCCTGTATGTTTAACATGAGACTTTTACTTTTCCAATATATATAAAGCATCTGCTCAGGCAATTAGCTACAAAATAATGATTACAAAATAACAAAACAATGATTACATGATAACACTACAAGTATCAATATAAAATGGTTACTATATATAAAATAGCTGCTAGTGTCAAACTTAAACATACTAAAATCATAAACACAATAAAATCCCTTCAATACTTTAATTGCAAGAAGAAAAACAAGCCATGCTTTAAACATTACTATACCTTCAGATTATGAAGGCCAATTTATTAAAGCTATTTAGAAAGTTAACAAATGTTCAGAGTCTCTATTTCTAATTTTTACATTATATTTTTTACTTCTAAATTCCCCAGGGATTTCTTAATACATTAATAAAATCTTCATCATCCAGAATGCCAATACTTAATCCTTCATAATAATCCTCAAATTCACCAAAGGAAACTTCACTGGGATTGCTGCAGGCATCCTCCAGTGTTTCAAGAAATGAAGATTTAATTTCTTCCTCAGTTGCATTTCCTGTTAAAATATTACTTACTATTAAAGTTGCTAGTGAGCATATGAAAGCTTCAATAAAACATTAAAAAATAAAAATTACACCTGTGTTCTTCAGATGTTAAAAACATGCTATATATCTAATCAAAAAGATTTCCTAAGAAAAGCAAGTTAAAATAGAAAATTCAAGGGATAGCTTAGTAAAAGTAACTTGTGTAGGAGTCTAGGAGGTAAATGACAAAATGTGCATCACCATGTCACAATGCAAATCGTTGTTAATTAGATATTTTCATACAACATCATACTGCAAATGCAAAACAGAGGGATTGCTTTGTTTTGTAATGCTACTGCACAGATGCTCACAATAATTCAGTCTCTTACTTTAAGCCTACATTTATCCCAAACTTTGTAATGTCTTTTTCCAAATATAACAGACTACAATATACACCAAATGAAGGTTCTGGGCATGCTCAGGTTACTAAGATTTCCAAGAATGCTGAAAGAAACAGTATCATTATGTTGGCAGCTGACTGAAAAATGAATCTGGTCTTGTGTGTTCTACTGATCAACATAGGAATGTTGTCTATTTTGTCAACATAGCTGCATTCAGCAGACAAATATTTGAGACTGCATATGAATTAAATACCTCATATTGAAACTTCTTGAGCTTTTTTAAAAAAAAACATTATTCTTTCTTTCCATTCTGTTTTTATAATGTATTTTTACATTTTTTTGAATAATCAAGCAACCTGAAAAAGCAGATGCTTGCAAATTCTTTAGTAACATTAAGCTGATCTAATGGAAACATGTTATACATGTAATGAATAGTCCTTATCTGCAGGAAAAAAAAAAGTAATGTAGGTCTGTCCGTAAAGCCATGCAGCTAAAGAAATGGCCATAGAAATAGAGTTTCATGGTAAGGATCTTGAAGTCAAATAGTTTTAGAAGCTCAGAGGTAGAATATAAATTTGCCCCAAAAGACTGAAGATATATAAACTAAGATAGGGATTACCCAAGGCAGATATAATAAATTAAATTCTTTCTTAAACTGAATGACTATAATGACTATAATCTCCCTGCACCTAAGAAGTAGTAGCAATACAAACCAATAATTACTTTATTTATTTATTTATTTATTTATTTATTTATTTATTTTTATTTATTAATAAAATTTATATGCCGCCCAATCCCTAGGGACTCAGGGCGGTGTAAAAAATTAAAACAATAAATAGAACGATAAAACAATAAAATAAGTGCATTCATACATCATGTCCAGTCATATCCCGCCCCCCCCGGGGACATCAACCCCAGGCCTGCCGGAACAGGAGAGTTTTAATGGCTTTCTTAAAGGCCGGCAAGGTGGGAGTAGTTTGAATCTCGGGGGGAAGTTGATTCCTCCAGGTCGGAGCCACCACAGAAAAGGCCCTTCCCCGAGGGCCCGCCGGCCGACATTGTCTGGCCGACGGGACCTGAAGGAGGCCCAATCTGTGGGACCTCACCGGTCTCTGGGAACTATGCGGCAGTATGCGGTTCTGTAAGTAACCTGGTCCTAAGCCATGAAGGGCTTTAAAGGTGATAACCAACACCTTGAATTGCGTCCGGAGACCCACAGGAAGCCAGTGCAGCTCACGGAGGATAGATGACACGTGGGTGTACCTTGGTGCACCCACAATCGCTCTCGTGGCTGCATTCTGAACCAACTGCAGCATCTGAACACTCTTCAAGGGTAGCCCCATGTAGAGCGCATTACAGTAATCCAGTCTTGAGGTGACAAGGGCATGAGTGACCGTGAGTAGAGCCTCCCGGTCCAAATAAGGCCGCAACTGGTGCACTAGGCGAACCTGGGCAAAGGTCCCCCTGGCCACAGCCGATAGATGTTGTTCCAAATTTAGCTGTGAGTCCAGGAGGACACCCAAGTTGCGTGCCTGCACTGAGAGAGGTAAATTTCCCCCCCCCAGGGCTAATGATGGACCATCAGAATGACCCTTGGGGGGCAAGACCCAGAGCCACTCAGTCTTCTCAGGGTTGAATCTAAGCCTGTTCACCCCCATCCAGACCCTCACATCTTCCAGGCACCGGCACATCACATCGACTGCTTCACTGAAAGGACACGGGGTGGAGATATACAATTGGGTATCATCCGCATACTGATGATACCTCACCCCGTGTCGCCGAATGATCTTGCCCAGCGGTTTCATGTAGATGTTAAAAAGGAGGGGGGACAGGACCGAGCCCTGAGGCACCCCATAATCCAGGCGCCTAGGGGTCGATCTCTGTCCGCCTGCCAACACCAACTGCGACCTGTCAGAGAGGTAGGAGGAGAATCACCGCATTACGGTGCCGCCCACCCCCACCTCTCCGGGACGACGCAGAAGGATACCATGGTCGATGGTATCGAAAGCTGCTGAGAGGTCAAGAAGCACCAGGATAGAGGAATGACCCCTATCCCGGGCTTGCCAGAGGTCATCGGTCAGTGTGACCAAAGCAGTCTCAGTGCTGTAGCCGGGCCTGAAACCAGATTGAAAAGGGTCCAGATAATTCGTTTCATCCAAGGATCGCAAGAGTTGGGACACCACCACCTTCTCTACAACCTTCCCCACAAAGGGGAGGTTGGAGACAGGACGAAAGTTCTTCAAAACATCTGGGTCCAGGGAAGGCTTCTTGAGGAGGGGCCTCACCACCGCTTCCTTCAAAGGTTGCAGGAAAGACCCCTCCATCAAGGAGGCGTTGATTATCACCTGGAGCCAGCCTCGTGTCACCTCCCTACTGGCAGAAACCAGCCAGGAGGGGCACGGGTCCAATAAGCAGGTGGCGGCATTCATTGCCCTCACGGCCTTGTCCACTTCATCAGGGGTCACAGGCTCAAACTCGCTCCAGATAACATGACTAAGACCAGCCCCCGGCATCTCGGCTGGCACTGCCCAGTCGGAGTCCAGGTCTCTCTGAATCTGAGTGATTTTGTCCGAGAGAAACTGAACAAACTCCTCAGCTCTCCCCTGCAAGGGTTCCTCCGCCTCCTCCACTTTAAGAAGGGAGCAGGTCACCCTAAACAAGGCAGCCGGGCGAGATTCTGAGGACGCAATAAGTGCGGAAAAGTGAACACGCTTTGCCACCCTTATCGCCACTAAATAAGTCCTAAGATAGGCTCTTAATAGTGATCAGTCAGATTCAGAGTTACTGGCCCTCCAACGTCACTCTAGACGTCTCTTGTGGTGCTTCATCTCCCGGAGCTCCTCAGTAAACCAAGGCGCCCTCCGGGGACCACTCCCACAGAGAGGTCGCAAAGGCGCAATTCGATCCAGGGCCCCGGATGCCGCCTCATTCCAGGCCGCAACCAGGGACCCGGACGAGTTGTGGACAAGGGAGTCAGGTATTTCCCCAAGCTCCTCCTGGAACCGATCTGGGTCCATTAGGTGCCTGGGGCGGAACCACCTAATCGGCTCCACCTCCCTGCGGTGGGGGAGTGATGCTCTGAAGTCCAGCCTCAATAGGAAATTATCTATCTATGACAAGGGAGAGGTCTCTATTCCCCTTAATTCCAGATCATGTCTCCATTGCCCCGAGAGAAACACAAGGTCGAGCGTGTGACCACCCCTATGAGTCGGATCCTGGATTACCTGGGTCAGGTCCATGGTTGCCATGGAATCCATGAACTCTTGCGCCCCCTCTGAGCATTCGCCAAGTGATGGCAGATTAAAGTCCCCCAGTAACCATAAGTCTGGGGAACCCGGCTACTGACTCCAGCAACGCAGGCAGGGCTGTTGCAACGCAGCTGGGAGGTAGGTACGTCAGCAACAAGCCCAACTGAACCCGTGAACCCAACTTCAATAGGAGGGACCCACACCCAACAATCTCCGGGGCAGGAATCCCACGAGGACTCAGGGACCTCCGAGCAATGACTGCCACTCCCCCACCCCTGCCCTGATGTCGAGGCTGATGAAGCACCACAAACCCGTCTGGGCACATCTCCGAGAGGGAAACACTCCCCTCAGGGCCCAGCCAGGTTTCAGTTATACATGCCAGGTCCGCCCCCCTGTCCAATATTAGATCACGGATAAGGGGGGCTTTGTTGACAATGGACCTGGCATTAAGCAACAGCAGCCTACAACTAGGGCCCTGTACTCCCCTGTCACCAGTACTACAGGATGGGCCTTTTGAGGGGCCGGAACAAGGAATCGTTCTAATATAGCAAGTCCTCGTTCCCCGAAAATGGCTGCCCCTCAGCTCCCGCCATATCTGCTCATCCCATGCTCCGACCTTCTCCCATCCCCGGAGTACCCCCACCCTCACCAACTTCTCCCTTCCCGACCAGACTAGCATTCCATGCACACCAAGCCCAAGGGTAAGTCCTGCCCCCCCACTTTTGCTATTGCACTCAGCAGAGGGGGCACCAGGCTCCACCCCCGACTCTACCATTCTCCTACCACAGACACTCAATACACATTCACACTCAATTAATATACATAAAAGATAATTCACATTCATACGCCCTAAATACAATAATAAAATTTATACCTAACAGGGCAACCATTCATCTACATACATACACATACTCACAACAATTAGACAACTTGTGCCACATTGGGTCATTATTTCAAAGATATTTCCTTAGCTAAACAGAAAAACAGAATGATCATGGGCAGGCAAAAAAGCAGTGGGAATGGCAGTGACTTCCAACTTCCTGTTGCCTTTCCTTGACTTACCTTGTGGGAAACTGGTATGGAGCATCAGAAATTGATCTTCCTTCCTTCCCCCTTCCCTTCTCCTTTCTTCACCTTTCCTATCATTCTGTCATTACCTACCTTCCTTCCTTCCTTCCTTCCTCCCTCCCCTCCTTCTTTCCTGTTTCTCCCTCCCCTCCTTCCTTTCATCTTACTTCCCTGTCTCCTTCTCTCCTTCCCTTCTCCCCTTCTTTCCTGCACACCCTATCATTCTGCTATTATCTTCCCTCCTCCCCCTTCCTTCTCTTGAATACTTGACAGCTTCCCATTCACTTTGCTTGTGGGAAGCTTTCAGAAGAAAAGTCAGTGGGGAAGCCAGCAGACGTTACAAGATCAAGGGCAGTAATCACGTAAGATGCTGCTGCCAGGTGGGGGAGGAAGAGAGGGGATGCACAGGGGTGAGGATTGTACATGGGTTGTGAGACAGATGCCATATAAGTTGAGAAGGATATGTGGGTGTGTGCTTTAGATGCCACATGGGTTGGGGAGGGTGCACAGATGACTAGGTTGGAAAGAGTGGCCATGAGTGCACAAGAGGTGAGGGTGGGATGGGTAGGGTCTATGGGAAAGTGGAATAGGTCAAGAAATATGGAAGCAAGTGGCTGCTGCTGGGTGGAGGATAGAGCAAGGAATTGCAAAACAGTCATGTAACACTGACAATTAAGATCACATGACTGCAGTAACAGCCAGTAGCACTGAAGCAACTACAACTTTCCCAAATTTTATTCCGTTGGGAGTCATGGGTCCCAGATTTTAGATCTGTAAATTAGCTGATTTGAGGTACCTAGTTTCAAAAAATGTTGCCCTTCTAATGCACTGTTTCACCTAGTTAAAGGTCATGACAACAAAAGTTTTAGTAGTATATAGATACCTGCTATAACTTGAGGATGTTTTCTAGCACAATAACATTTCTTGATATCTACCATAGGGACTCTGCCAGTTTTATTGTAATCTAGCTTCATATAAGCCTAAACATAATCAGAAAAAAAATGTGAGCATCAGATATATGGAAAAAATGTTTATATACATCTGGTATTTTTACGTGAAAATAAAGTAATATTAGCAAAATTATATCAACGTGCTACATATAGACTTTATATTTGTGGAATACCCGACTTTACATAAATGTTTGGAAAAAGAGAAATTAAAGAAGTAATTGGGTACACCTAATTGAAATTAACATCAGTGCAAGTAAGCTTTTAAAATTTCCTCATGACAGTAAGTTTTGTTCAATCAGTATCTTATAACAATAAATATATTTTCTACTTAGAAATCTGAATGTGTTTTTTGTTAACACTATCAATTTCTTAGCACATTTTTCCCTGTTGCATAAACAGTAAAGAATTTTCTCACTGACTCACTTACTTTCACACTGACAATTTTCTTCAAATGACACAGAAAGACTTTTCTCACAATAAACCAAATCTTGACATTCTCCCGCTAAAAAAAATCCAGTAAAGCATTATACAGATTAAGAGTATTCAACTTTTAATACATGAATTATAGTCTTAAAATAAGATTACTTACTTTCCTAACAAATATTTTTCTGTATTCATTCATTTCTCCAAGAATAGCACGAATAAATTCAGTATAATCAATTTCACCATTATTGTCATCATGTAGAATTAACCATAAAGATTCAAATTCCTAAATTTAAAATACAAAGTCAAATTAAACGCTGCATACCTAACTAACAAAATAAGTACCATGACATTAGCAAAACTCAAATTAATGCTTCAGGGTATTCATTTGAAAATTGTGCATTTCTTTAAAAACTGATGTAAATATTAAAATACAAACTTTAGTATTTAATGTTTCAGATTTCACCAAAGCAGCAGTTCAAACAAAAGGTTGTGGAAGGGGAGAGAGAGACTAGCTTCATTCACTTTCTTCATATTCACTATAGCAGCAACAATCAAGTAAGTAATTCATCCCCAGCTTATGTTACAGCTGTCTTCTATTGGCTAGAACAGTGATGGTGAACCTATAACATGCATGTCAAAAATGATACATCACTATGTTTTGGATGACATGCCAAGTGTTCACCAACACCCAATAATTATTCTCAAAATGTGTCCTTTTCTTGTGCAATTTTTGGAGGCTAGAGAGTGCAAGAATGGGGTGTGCTGTCATGCAGCCTTTAGACCCATCAAAAGTTGTGTGAGAGGGCTGTGCTCTTACACAATCTCTGGAGCTTCTGAAAATTATGCAAGAATGGGGTTTTCAGAAAGTGCAAGAAGAACATTCTTTGAAGCTACTTTAAGAATGAAGGACACATAAAACCCATAGTAGGCTCAGGTAGGCCACAGGGGCCTGTCAACAGAAAGAAAATATGGCCTAAAAGTAAGCAGAGAAAATAAGCAGCAGGCTGGTCCTGCCTATGGGGCAATTGTACTATTCCCCAAGCTCAACAATTAGTTTCCATAAACGTCCAAGTAACTAAGATTCTATTAGTATTATATTTCTCATTTATGCATGCATGCATTCATACTGCCCAAATTATAACTTTGTGTGGGGTAGCATCAGATTGAAACACATATGAAAGTAAGCAATAAATATAATGACTATAAAAGCACAATGCAAAATAGCCCAAAACCATGAAAGCCTTGTACTTTGGTCCTGGACGGTATTATCAAGATCTTCTGCCTGGCTAAATGGTCCAAAGCCCATCCTGCAATATCACTGTTTTTTTTTTCCCCTCATATGAAAACTCTAATTTGGAGTTTCTTAAGTTCCCAAACCTCTAAAAGCATGTGTGTTCTTCACATACAATGTTATCTCATCCTCCCACTTTGTCTGGCCTATTCCTTTTCAGGAAATTGTATTTTTCAATCTTTGCAAATTGCTCATGAATTACATACCACAATGTTGAAGTAATGCCTATTAAATTGTATCTACTCTCTTATATAAGGATTTTGACATACCTCTTCAGTCACTTCTAAATGAAATACTTTTAGAGCTTGTTTGTAGTCTGCTTTTGTAATATTTCCATTTTGCTTCTTGTCCAATTCACGAAAATATTTTCCTACTCCTGAAACAATACGAACTCCTCTTTTACTTAATTTTGGTCTCAAATTATCTAGATAAGAATTTAAAATGGTTGATTAAAATTATGCTTCTTTCTCTTAAGTACAGTAATTGTTTTCAAATATGTAAAAGTGTGACCTAATCTACCTCAATATTGCCTTTTAGTGATATAGTATGATAAGCTGAAGAAGAATTATTTTCTAATTCTGCTATACAAGGAAATTACTAGAGATGTTCAGAATTTATCCTAGGATATTCTGCATATAAAGAATTATCCCATTCTGATAGAAGATTGCTAATATCAAAGAAAATTCACACTATTTTTTTCTGTATCAAAAAATTATATTACCTACAATCAAAAGCCTTTTCTGAAACTATACTGTAATACAATTACTACATAAAGTACAATCTAGGTTCCATGAAAATATTTTTACAGAACTCATAGACAAGAATTTCTAGCAAACAGAATATACAAACCTTGAATATTCCTCAAAGTTTTTTTCCAATCATCTTCTTCCTTGATAGGATGTTTCTCATTTTCTATATTATACATCCTATAATATATGCATTTGTTAAGCAGTCATAAATACAGAAGATTACTTTCACAGATATATATTATATTTTACATATAAATTAGGAAAAACAGATTTTTTTGACTTGTAAAATATTTTATATATATTTATAGTATCTAAAAACTTTGAAATAAACTTATTCTAAGGTTTAAAATGAGCCTCCCAAATCTAGCCAGACATGAAAGTATTTTATGCAGGAATACATTGTAGATGGCTTCATGGATGCAATGAAGAGACCTCTGTATTTAATCTTGAAAGGTGAGACAGCTTTTGAAATACAGACTCTTAGGGGTTATTTGCTTACCCAGTGCATGTGATTATTAAAACTCACTCAGCTTGAACAAGGGATAGCCCAGATTGATGATTAACTACCTGTTAACCAGATTAGTACACATGTGAAACATCCAAAAGATAAGTAATTTCACCTTATCAAAAGAGATGAATTCCAGTTTTTGAGTATACGTATTTAAAAAAACAAGTTCAGAAATATTCTGAATTAAAAGAAACCAAGTCTTAACTTGTTCAAGCTAAATCTTGAGAGTTACATCAAATAATCTCATTTGGGTATATTTTCTAGTCAGAGATAATAGAAGATATGAAACAGGAAGGGGATTTGTGTTATTACTGTGTGATAGCATCAAAGCTATTTTATACTTCACATTATATTAGGCTTCATATCAAAGCCAGGTCCAGGTCCTTGATTTGTGTTTTTCATTGTTTGTTTATTCTGGCATGCACTTTTGATTTCACCACCCCCCACTAGTACCAAGACAGCCTGGAACTGCTGTTAATTTTCTACATTGCATCACAGGGTTATTATGTGAATACTGTAGGAAATTAAAGTGACAGCTAAACACAGCCATATAGGACTCCAGACCAGAAAAAAATACATTAAATGGAGTTTCAGTCAGGCATTACCTAAAAACATTTAATAAATCTATTAAATCTGCAAAGACAAAAAAACCACACTGTGCTTTTTAATCAGTAGTACTAGAAATATCCCATTAGAAGGTACAGAATATATATGATCTTTCTCCATCTTACCAGTTTTCACTTTAGTAGCCATAATCTGTACAAACTATTTCTGAACTTTCTTTTAACAATGGGCCCACAAAGAGGTACTAGCAATCACTCATTCAAAATGTATCATGTCATGTCTAGCTAAGGCCACATCTATCTTCTTATCTTTACTTCCTAGAGTTCCTTAATATGACAAGGATGTTTCTTTGATGGTCTGATTAATAGATTAGCAAGATCCTAGCCAACACCCATTTTATATAAATCTTTAGTATTCCTGCTCCTACTTGCTGGCCCAATTCACAGACTGTCTAATTATGCATTATTGAACAAGCCACCATAGGATAAGTACCTATGATATGCAAATATACTAAGCCAAAAATATGATTTACACCTTATAATTTACTACTCATAATCTCTAGATTCATAAAACATACCAAGGCAAAGCCAAATAAACTACATTATATATGTCTGTCCTGACCACTTTCTACAGGGGGATGATCGAGAGCATCCTGTCATACAGCATCACAGTTTGGTTTGAAAGCATCACTGCTTCAGACAGGAAGGCAGTGCAGAGAGTGGTGAGAATGGCCGAAAAGATCATTGGCAGTTCCCTCCCTTCCATCCAGGACATAGCACAGAAGTGCTGCTTGAGCAGGGTCCGTAAGATTATCTGGGACACTACACATCCTCTTCATGACCTGTTTTCGTTACCTTCTGGGAGGAGGCTTCATGGTATCTGAAGCAGAACATCCAGATTCAGCCATAGTTTCATTCCATACAGCATTAACCTTGTGAACTCTTAAGCTTCCTCTTTCCGTTATATATTCAAGATGGAAAATATTCAATATGTATTTGCTACATATATGTAGGAGTGTGGGTCTATACATATGTTGTTCATAGTATGTTTAGGTGTGTGTCATGTATGTGTTTCACTTTGGGAGCGGGCAACTAAATTTCATTTTTGATGTGTGCCGTTGTGCCCACAGTAAAAAAAATGTCAATAAAAGTTATCTTATCTTATATCAAAATGATGTATTATCTCAGTTACTATATCTTCTAATCTGCTATTTTTAAAGATTATAGCATATTCTTTTTCTTACTCCAAATAACTACTATTGATTTATTTCTAATCTCTTACATTTATTAGACTATCATTAAAGTTCTAGAAAGAGCTACAAGAATCAGGAAGAAGCATGAAATATCCATTACAGTAATTTTTTTCCTCTATTTACAGGTTTTCTTTTATAAACAATAATGTAATTGCCAATTAATTCCCACTTTTGAAATGAAACTATTAAACTAGTGTTAAATAATCACATGTTCTTCACATGTATTAAGAACTGATTTGGAATTCTTGGACATATAGTTTCAATATTTCTGAGGGACCTACATTACATACAGTTCTGCAATTCTTTTTTGTTTTAATTATATAAACCTGCAATTTGAGTGGAAGATTAGCTTTTTTCATTAAAAGCAATGAAAAAAAAGATATTTTTAATTGTATGATATCTCTCTTCAAACAAATTCAAAATTGTACTTTTTAGAAACAGTAACTATAATATAAGTAATGTTAGATGTACTTACACATTTTTTCTATGTTCTGGAGGAGTTTCTATCTTCTACAAACACCCAGTCATATAGTAACATTCTACTATGTGTACCTCTAATCAGGTATTAACATTTATGCTGGAGAAATACAAACAAACCCTCAAGCCAACAGATATAGAAAATATTTTTGATCAACAAAGAGGATTCATGAGCAGATACTCTAATTCCACTTACTTTAGAAAAGTTCTAGCCATTCCATCAATATTTGTGACACGGATTGTAAACAATGGTTTCCGCTTAATACTTTCAGGAAGGCCAGGATGTTGAAGGCTCAAAAAAGTTAGGTCTGCTCCCTGTGATCAATAATATAAAAATGATTTAAAAGTCTATTCCACAAAATATCAGTACAATATTAAAGAGATGAATTATTTCAAATATGTCTGACTTTGAGAAACTAGAAAGCATGATGTCAAACCAGACCAAATCTTCTATGTTATCCCTCCAGTTTTCTGCAAAGACAGTAATCTTAATGGACAGCATCTGTCTACTGTTCTGTCTTCAGTTATCTTTTCTGCTGCACGCCTTCCCAGTTATATATTAATATTTTGTTTATTCTCCCTCATTCTCTGAATGATCTTTTCTAAATAAGCCACTTTTCTCTCACAATGCTTTTATTTACTAACAGATAACACCTAACTTCCATGATTTTGACTGTTGTACTTATTGCCTCTGGACTTAATATGGCACAGTTGAGAAGAGTTGGAGTTCAGGATTATAAATTTCAAGACTAAAATATCCTTTTTAGATCCCGGGGAAGCAGAATTTATTCAGGGTTAAGAGTTGAATTTCTTATCAGAATATATGAACAGAACAGAACAATTTTGTTTCTCATATAACAGGAAAATATTTTTAAGTCATTAAGTTCTTTTGTAGCTCATTTGATAAATTGAAAGTAATATCTTGATTCAATTAGTCTACGTCCAGTTGTATGCAGATGTGTTGTAGCATCCTTTGTATAGAAAAAATATGTAATTCTGAGAAATCTATAATCTTTAGAGAATCAGGAACAAAATCCATATAGACATTTTCGTATAGTAATTCCAGATGAATACCTCTTGTATTTTTTCTTTTAATTGGTTTATTTTTTTTCCTCTTAATCAGCTGTATATATGAAGATGTTGACAAACATAAAATAAAATGCATAGTATGTGGACAGTATATTTTTCAGTCTATGAAAATCTACACAGATTCCCAACAGGTAGAAATAGTTGTCATGGGTTGCTAATCATGACTAGAGGTTCTTGCTATTATCACTTATAGCCACATCAGAGACTATATATCAGCATCCAATGTATGCATTTATTAAGACATAAGTATTCTTCATTCTGATATTGATTGAATGATTGTATTAGGGATATAGAGCACTATGTTATCTGTTGTAGTTAACATTTCTTCAGTTTAAAGTACAAATTCATACTTTCAAGATGTTATGCTGTAAATTCCAAATGTTCTAATATTGTTTTGTTATCCAAATTACTGTCAGGTTAATACAGTGACAAATAATTCTATGTACACATTCCATTATAGAGGAATGTGCAGTTCCTCTAATGAACATCACTGCTATACTGTTATTAGTAATAATTTCTTGAATTCTAAAAAAGATATTTTGAAAGAAATTCCTTTGTTGGGCACAGTTGAGCTTCAGGGTTTAGTCCCCATGGTCTATAAACTTAAATCCTAAAGCTCAATATTACCCAACAGAAACCGGATATAAACGCCTATACCAGTAAATTTCTCAGTTTTTAGAAGTTCCAATAGATACTTTTTGATTCTCAACACTCTGATAAAAATTTGGTTTATGCTTTATCAAATGAAATAAATAATGATTAATCACCTTAAGAAGCCATGCAATTCTATTCATTTAATTATAAAAGATAGTACACATTATGCTCAGTAATCTTCAATTGCCCGTCTGCCCTCTTGTGGCAAAGGGAAGATATGTAGCCTTAAAGCAATTTAAAAACAAGAAATTTTTTATTTAGTTTGCAACTAAAGAATTCGGGTGAGATCTTTCTGAATATTACTTTGGTTGTGGATATAAGCAATGTTATCAGAATAAATGTCTGCCTGCATTCTCTGAATACATTAAATCAGTTTGAAAAATCATATTAATAATCCATCTAACAATGAACACAGAAAATATTCAACAAAAAAAAATGAAAGCAACAATTGAAAATAAAGTATCATTGCCTACCCATTACTGACAATCACAAACCAGCCTGCAATGAATTCTATCTATACCCTTTGAAACAAATTTAATTAGCAAGTAGTAGAAGGAAGAAGTACAAGCTGGGCTTCAAAGAGGCAGAGGAACTAGAGATCAAATTGCCAACATTTGCTGGATTATGGAGAAAGCAAGAAAGTTCCAGAAAAACAGCTACTTCTGCTTCATTGACTATGCTAAAGGCTTTGAGATGGGAATATCAGACCACCTTACCTGTCTCCCAAGAAGCCTGTACATGGGTCAAGAAGCAACAGTTAGAACTGGACATGGAACAACTGATTGCTTCAAAATAGATAAAGGAGTATAACAAGGCTGCATATTGTCAGCCTGCTTAACTTATATGCAGAGTACACTTTGCAAAAGGACAGGATGGATGAATCACAAGCCGGAATTAAGATTGCCGGAAGAAATATCAACAACCTCAGATATGCAGACAATACCACTCTAATGGCAGAAAGAGAAGAGGAACTAAAGAGCCTCTTGATGGGGGTGAAACAGGAGACTGCAAAAGTTGGCTTGAAACTCAATATTAAAACACTAAGATCATGACATCTGGTCCCATAATCTCCTGGCAAATAGAAGGGGAAGAAATGGAAGCAATGACAGATTTTATTTTCTTGGACTTCAGGATCACTGCACTGTTATCTGCAGCCATGAAATTAAAAGACACTTGCTCCTTGGGAGGAAAGCTATGGCAAACCTAAGCAGCATATTAAAAAGCAGAGACATCACATTGCTGACAAAGGTTCATATAGTCAAAGCTATGATTCCCAATAGTGATGTAGGCTGTGAGAGTTGGACCATAAGAAAGGCTGAGCACTAAAGAATTGATGCTTTGAAATTATGGTGCTGGAGAAGATTCTTGAGAGTCCCTGCAAGGAAATCAAATCAGTCAATCCTACAGGAAATCAATTCTGACTATACTTTGGAAGGACAGATACTGAAACTGATCTCAAATATTTTGGCCACTTAATGAGAAGGGAGGATTTTTGGGAAAAGACCCTGATGTTGGGAAAGATTAAAGGCAAAAGGAGAAGGGGACAGTAGAAGATGAGATGGTTAGACAGTGCACTGATGCAATTAACATGAATTTGGGCAAACTCCACCAGATAGTGGAGGACAGGGGAGCATGATGTGCTATGGTCCATGGGGAGTAAAGAACTGGACACAACTTAGCAACTAAACAATAACAAGTGGGAAAAAAATATGTTCCAGCACAGGTACAGTAGATTTTGGTCAGGATCACTGAAAATAAATAGTTTTTGACCTGTTCGTATTCAATTATTTCAAGCAGAAATAATTCTTAAGACCATCACATTCTTCTGTTTACAGGGAAGGAACACCATCCTTCCTTAGTATGAGAAATGTTCTGTGCTTCTTCCAGCGCAAAAGGCCTCTAGAAGCAAAACTGTACCAGTGATACGTAAGACAATTCTAGCTTTTAAAAGTATTTTCTTCCCTTACTCCTATAAAAACACTCTATTTCTTTTTTTTAACAATATTTTATTAGGTTTTATAAGGATAGGAGAGCGATAGGGTCAATATACAGTAGGTATTGGGGTTCCAGGTAAGGCTCGGGAATGGGGTTGGGATAAAGGTAGGTACAACAATGGGGTTGCCCCCAGTAACATTTCCACGGTTTAGTAAGCAGACTATTGTCTGGATACAAATATTCAGTAACAATAATTAATATGATAGTAAATAGCTATAGTCAATAAGAATAACAGTGATCATAAAGAGTATCAATTAATCAGTAAATATCATTCATCTTATTAAATTTCACAATCATTTCTCGCCAGTTCATTTTGCTAACCATTGGTACAAATTTTCCTATGTTTTAAAATAGACTGAGTCTTCTTTTTCTTTAATCTCTAGGGTTAGTCTGTCCATTTCTGTACATTCTAAAATTTTCCTAATTATAATCTCATCAGATGGTATATTTTCATTTTTCCAAAACTGGGCAAATAGTATTCTCGCAGCTGTCAATATATGTAATATTAAATACTCATTCTCTTTCCCATAATTGGATCTTAATATTCCTAACAAAAACAGTTCTGGCCTGAATTCTATCTGTATTTTAGTCATCTTTTCCAGCCATGTATGAGTCTTAAACCATTTTTTTTTTTTTTTTGCACTGGGACAGTAAGTGTTCGTCCATCGATTTTGATGAGGACCTTGACATCTTGTGGATTATGAGACATCAACGATGTGTCCATAGGTGGCTGATAAGACCGATGTTAGCACGGAATGTTCTGCTACATACTGAACAAAGAAATGTAGACACTGTTACTTCAGCATTTACAGCTCTGGCTTTGCGGAGTGCTTGCTTCTCTTGTGCCAAGATTGTCCTTCTGTGTTCATATGTCTGGCAACCCTGGTACACCAAGGTATGCCATGTCGGTCGATCATGTGCCAGAAGTTCCCAAGAGATGATGTTAATATCTAGGGACTTGAGAGAGGCTTTCAGCGTGTCTTTATATCGCTTCTTTTGTCCCCCGTGCGATCGTTTTCCTTGAGACAGCTCACCATAGAAGAGCTGTTTAGGGATGCGATGATCTGGCATCCTTATGACATGGCCTGCCCAGCGCATCTGGGCTTTCATCAACAGAGTATAAACTGATGATAGGCCTGCTCTGGGGAGGACATCTGTGTCTGGTATCTTATCCTGCCACCGGATCCTCAGAATTCTATGAAGGCAAGTCATGTGGAAGTAGTTCAGTTGCCTAACATGCCTCCTGTACACTGTCCAGATCTCACTAGTATACATCAGGGTAGTTAGCACTGCTGCCTGGTAAACTTTAAGCTTAGTACCACTCGAATCCAGTAAAGGAGATCTTCCTAAGGGCTGAGGTCCATACAGGGATCTAAGGGCTTCATAGAATCGTTTGAGATCACCTCTATCAGCAAACTTCTGGATTTCATCTGCTTTGGCACTCAGCTAGGAGTCCTGCATCTTGCGGAGCTTGCTCTGTACAATCCTGCGAGTGTTTATAAAAGCATTTTTCTTTGCAGTTGACGATGGGTCATTCTGATGAGCACGGTAGAGATGATGTTTTTCAGTAAGCAAGGCCTTAATCTCTTCATCATTTTCATCAAACCAGTCCTGCTGCTTCCTATTTGAAGGTCCAAGAACCTTAAGTGCAGAAGAGTGCAAGATGTCCCGGAAACATTCCCAGTCCTTCTCAGTATTTTCCTGTATTTGCAGCTCCAGGAGTTGATTGTCAAGATCTTTTACTAATGAAACTACTACGTCAGGGTTTTCCAGTGTACTGACGTTGATCTTTTTCATCACAACTCTGTTTCCCTGTGGACGATTCTTTGGCTTGATGTGAATATTTAACTTGGAAATGATGAGTCTATGATCAGTCCAGCAGTCAGCACTCGGCATAGCCTTAGTTACTCTTACATCGTGCATGTCTTTCCTTCGCACAATGACATAATCAATGAGATGCCAGTGCCTGGAGCGTGGGTGCATCCAGGACGTCTTTTTACGAGTAGGCAGGCGAAAGATAGTATTAGTAATGACCAGATCATGAGCAGTACATGTTTTCAATAGTAACAGACCATTGCTATTATACGTGCCAATTCCATTTTTACCAATAACGCCATCCCAGGTAGAATGATCGGACCCCACTCTCGCGTTGAAATCGCCAAGTAAAATCAGCCTATCGGTGCGCTTCATGGAGGAAAGTAGAGCATCAATATCTTCATAAAACTTGTCCTTCATCTGGATTTGTCATTGTGGGTGCATAGGCACTGATCAATGTGGCTTGCTTTCCACTTAGTAATGGGAGATGCAGTGTCATGAGTCGATCATTCACACCCTTAGGAAGACTGGCAAGTTGGCGAACAAGATGGTTCTTAACCGCTAAGCCAACTCCAGACTCACAACGTTGGTCACTGCTACATCCACATCCTACATCCAATGTGTAACCGCCTCCTGTTTCTGTGAGCTGACCTTCATTGGCTAGACGAGTTTCACACAGGGCCGCAATGTCACTGTTAAATCTTGCAAGCTCTCTGGCTACCAGAGTTGTTCTTCTTTCTGGGCGATCTGCTAATGGATTGTCTTGGAGCGTACGTACATTCCATGTACCAATAGTAAGTGGTAACACCTTGTGTTTCGTCTTAAATTCTGTATTTCGACTGCATGAAATGGGATCCCCTCCAACCGCGGTAGGTTGGACAGGGTTTGAAGGAAGCAACAATGTTTAGGGCACATTTTCTAGCCCCTTCCTCATACTACGGAGGTGAGCAGTGTGATCCTAAAGAGGGCTGCTCAGTCACTGATAGACGCCGAATCCAGCTTTGCTTCATCAGCAAGAAGCGACCATTAGACCTGAGCTGCCTGTGTTCAGGTCCGCGTCCACAGCTCCCAGTGATTCCACACCTGCTGCTTCTTCACTCGCCTATCGCCACAGGACTTTAAGATTTGTCAGAATTAGGGAAAATCAAGATGTCAAGACTTGCGCGTGGATTGGATTTAAGTGAGGGAGAGGTGCGCATAGTCAGCCTCACTCTCTCTTCCCAGATTCCATCTTATTCCAATGGAAGGACAAAAGTCGAGACAGTTGGAGATGGGCTGGGCGCAGTGGTTGACCAGGGCATCTTTCGTGTCTTGCCGTGCTCTCAGCGTACCACATCACTTGCAGAAACTGCCTTCATGACCGTTGGTTCTATTTTAATAGATCTCATCCGTTCAATCCACCAGAGTCTGTCTTCACATGCTCGGGATAGACAAATCCCTTACTCACCGAGTGTCAAAGACACAATGGCTACTCTCAACCTGGTTTAGCCAGCCTGTCGAAGCTGTTGCCCAGGGTGTGGCCGCTGCGCATGTAACAGCTACCAGGAGCCACAGGTGAGAGCTGAGTGTCAGGTGAGGACCAAAGGTGTACGAGCTGCCCTAAAGAGGCACGACATGCCCTACACCAGAGGTACTACCCCTCCTGTGTATGGGATGGTAGTAAGTACCTGGCTTTTGATTACATTTCCAACAATTATTCGAAACATTTTTAAACATTTTCGCTAGTTTTACTGGTGTCATGTGCCATCTATAAAACATTTTATATAAGTTTTCTTTATGTGAAGCTGCTTTGGTGAATTTAATATTTCTATCCCATAGCTTTAGCCAATCTTCTAAGTCTATAGAACAGTGGTGGCGAACCTATGGCATGCGTGCCAGAGGCGGCACTCAGAGCCCTCTCTGTGGGCACATGCATTGTTGCCCCAGCAGAGTTTGCCAGAGTTAGCGAGCACGTGGCATTTGGAAGTGACAGGGCAGGAAGTGAGCGAGCAAACAGCATTGGCCCCCCGGGGATGGCGAGGGACTGGCCCAGGCCATGCTCACCCAGTCCGCCGTGACTACTGCAGCCACGCCCACCCAGTGGGCCAAGCCCCCCACCCGCCCTGAGGGCACAATACTGATGCAGCCCTGGCACTTTGCGATAAATAAGTGGGTTTTGGGTTACAGTTTGGGCACTCAGTCTCTAAAAGGTTCACCATCACTCCTATAGAATATCCAAAAAAAATTGCCCATACTATCATTGCTTCTTTTACTTGTTCTTCTTCCATCTTCCAATTTAGCAGAAATCTATAAAGTTTCTTAATCAAGTTTTCATCTCTTTTCAAGAGTATTTGGTCAAATTCTATCTGTTCTTTATAAAATCCCATTGTCTTTACATCTTTCTCATATTTTGTTTGGATTTGCAAATAAGGCCACCATGCTAAGTCAATACCTTGTTGTTGTAGGTCTTGCCTATCTTTAAGTTTTCCATTCTTGTCCAAAATGTCTTTGTAGGTAACAAGTTTGTCATAGTTAATTAAATTTGTGTAAGCAAAAGCTTCCATTGTTGAAAGCCACTCTGGTATTTTAATATAAATGTTTTGTTTAATTCTCTCCCATTCTAGAAACAGTACATTCCTTATAGCATGGTTTTGAAAATATCTGTGTATTTTATTTTTCCCATACCACAGGAAGGCATGCCAACCCAGTTGTAGGTCATGCCCCTCTAGGTAGAGAAGTCTTTTATTTCTCAACGTTATCCATTCTTTGAGCCATGGTAAAATGGCTGCTTGATAATAGAGTCTCCAATCCGGGAGTCCAAATTCTCCACTATCTTTAGCTTCTTGTAACATTTTAACTTTAATTCGTGATTTTTTCCCTTGCCATATGAATCTCAATATTGTTGCATTTAAATCATCAAAAAATATCTTTCCAAGTTTTACAGGAATTGTTTGAAATAAGAAAAGTAGCTTCGGTAGGACACTCATTTTCACTGTCGCTATTCTTCCTATTCTTCAGTTGAAGGTTTTTCCACTTTTCCAAATCTAATTTTATTTGTTTCAACAGTCTTTCATAATTATCTTCTTTTAATGTTATACATCTTGATGTTAAATAAATACCTAAGTATTTAACTTTTTGACTATTTGCATTTGTCTTTTTTGTGAATTGGATTTTCTGTTTGTCTGTTAAGTTTTTTGTTAAAACTTATGTTCCAACATCAGCTGTTGGAACATAAATTGCCAATTTAAATTGTTAAAGGCTTTTTGCGCATCAAGAAATATCAATGCCATCTGTTTCCCTGGATGATTTTCATAGTATTCCAAAACGTTTAAGATGATCCTTAAATTATTTTTTATCTGTCTTTTAGGTAAAAAATCATTTTGGTCTGTATGGATAAATTCAATCAGGAATTTCTTAATTCTTTCTGCCATTATCGAGGCAAAAAATTTATAATCCACATTTAGTAACGATATTGGTCTATAGTTTTTTATTTGTGTGGGGTCAGTGTCTTCTTTAGGTATCAAAGTGATATTAGCTTCAGTCCACGAGTTTGGTATTTTTGTCTCTGAAAAAATTTCATTACACAATTTCTTCAAGATCGGGCTTAATATATCTTGTAGTGCTACATAAAATTCTGCAGGCAGTCCATCTGGGCCCAGAGTCTTATCTTTTTTTTTGGCCTTTTTATAGCTTCTACAATCTCCATCACTGATATTTTCCCATTTAGTATATTTCGGATGTTCTCCAGGACTTTTGGCAAGTCAATTTCTTTCATATAGGCCTGTATTCCCTCTTTAGAGATCACCTCTGCCTTGTAAAGTGTCTCGTAATAGGCCTTAATAATTTTTTTCATTGCATCATTGTGGAAGTGTAACTCTCCTTTTGAGTCTTGTAGCTTATTTATCATTCTTTTTTCTTTTTCTTTCTTCAATCTGTATGCTAGCCATCTTCCTGGCTTATTGGCATTTTCAAAAAAGTTCTGTTTAAACCATTTAATCTTCTGTGCCATTATATCCATCTCACTTAGATTTAATTTATGTTTTATTATTTCCATTTGTCTCTTAAGAACTTTCTTTTGTGGGTCAATTTGTAGCTCAAGTTCCAATTTATTAAGTTCTTCTTTCAACTTTAACTGTAGTTGTTTCTTTTCTTTATTCTTTTTAACAGCATAAGTTATGTCCAAGCTTCTAAAATATGCTTTGGCCATGTCCCACACATTTTGGAGGGAGGTTTCTTCTTTCTTGTTTATTTTGAAGAAAAATTCTATTTCCCTTGTTGCTAATTGTAAAAATTCTTTTTCTTTTAGTATGGATTTATTCAGAGACCATCTTAGTTTTTTCTTAGTTCCTTTCCAGATCATTTTTATTGGGTTATGGTCTGTCCAAACTTTGGTTTCTATCTCGACCTCTAGCTTTTAAAAGTATTTTGTTCCCTTACTCCTGTAAAAACACTCTATTTCTCTCCACCCTGTTTATTTGTTCATATACTTGCATGGCTCAAACCCATTACCCAGCAATCATGCAGTTTCTGGAAAACAAAAAGTTGTTCATACTTTCCTCCTATCCAGATTTAGAATACTTACAACAAAGAAATCATTAAGACTGTATGGTTTTCCTTTCCTCTGTCCACGCTGATGCATATAAATACCCTTCAGAATGAATGGTAGAGCATTTATTCTGTATGAAATTAAAACAAAAAAAACCTTGAAGTGATTTTACTAAGTATTAATGGCTGAATAAAATTCTGAGATTTTTACACACACACACACACACATACCTATTTTTACCAAACTTTCTATATTCATATATAGTTAAAGATTTGTCATAAGCAAAGTAAAATCCAATCAGTTCTCGACAAGCATCACGTCCATTTCTATAACGGAAAAAAAGTATTAGATTTCTTAAAAATAAAGCAGAATGAATCCTTAAGTGCCAACCAGACAGAAAAAATATTACATTTTAAGCAAATCTCATGTTACTATAGTTTGTGTAATATAAATTTAACCAATGTGTTCTTCTGCTGAGAGTTCTCCACTAATCCTGATCAGAATATGAGAATTGGGGAATGCATATTATTTCCAAGTAGGCCCACTATGTATAAGTGCTCTACTTTCAGTGTCTCAAAGCTCCACCTAATTAACAGATCTAAGGACCAAACATTACATATTTTAGTATTTAGTATTTAAGGTAAAAATAATGTTGATGAACAACTGCTGCAATAGATCATACTGCTGGACCACGACATAAGGGGGAAAGATTAATAGAGTAAATGATTATATTCACAAGATCCACAACAATCAGTTAAAGGACACCAATTCTATTTACTAGTTTATCCCTCCTGTGTACATACACAGGGAAATCAGCATTTTATCATCAGTCTAACACCTGATTATGATTTCATAAAATGTGCATACAGCAGATCAACATGAAATATACATAAGAATAGATAAAAGTCTAATGTAAACTGTAATATTGCTATGCTATTTTATTAGAAAACAATTAAACTAAGATGTGGTTATGGAAGTAGCATACTCAGTAACTTCTGAGTAGAAAACAATATTTAAAAGTTTTGTAGGCATACCTTGATATTAATCTACCATCAAATCGTAATTTGTTAGAAAGCATATTTTCAGTCAGTGCTGACCTAGTCTTAATTCTGTAAGAAAAATATATATTATATTCTATGCAAGTAAGTCATTTTGTATGCCAGCTGCTTGTAGAATAGACATGTTCCTGAATAGAGTTCAATAGAGTTATCATGAAAAGATACAGCAAAGACAAAACCTAAATGCTGATTACTGCCACTACAAATAAGCTTAAGTATTATATACAGATTTATATATTTCACTGGAACTATAGAATTGTGTATATTTTCACTGCTTATGAGTAGTATCTTCAAGAATCTGAAGCCTTTTTAATCTTTCTAGCAGATATCAATACTAATCAAAATCTTAGTTCTTGGTTGCCTGAACGTACAGTTGAACGGACATAAGGGAGACATTACAAAACTAGTATATATTAAGAAGCAAACACCATTCAGTGTAGCCAGAAAAGAAACTGATGGAATATTTTATTTATTCATTTATTTCAATTTATATCACTGCCCATCTCAAACTCATGACTATAGGAAGCTACTAATAATGATTAAAATAGAAAAAAAACCCCATAAAATCAATGAAAACAAAAATACAGGTAGTCCTCGAGTTACGAGTGTAATGGAGCCTGCACATTCCATTCGTAACTCGAAAACTTATGGGAGTGAATCTCGTACCTCGAACGAGATCACTCCCTTGCTCATTAAGACACACGCGGCTCGTATAGTGCACATGAGGTATCTCACGGTGGGGAAGGCCATGGAGGGGGGGCCTAGTGATGGAACAGGCCCCCAAAGCCCCCTTGACCCACTGAGATACCTCATGCTTCTCCCTCCCTTCCTGCCACGCCAGAGTCACTTACCTTGCAAAATCTGTCTCCTCTCTGCTTCAGTTTCTTTCCCTTTGAGGAAGAGAAGAGTCGGCTTGGAAACGCTTTTTGCACCAACAATGGAAGCTCCTGGATGCCGTATTACTGCATGAGTTCAAACACAAATTCTCTGCAAAAGAGATCATGGCCCCCGGAAGCTTCCATTCTAGGGGGGAAGTGGTTGCTTTGTTTGCATGCCTATGGGGGAAAGCGTCGAATTGTAGTCAGCAAGGTGCAGGAACCAATACCATCCATGACCTGGGTGTACTGCTCGCATGCGCTGGCCTTAGTTTGAGGGCAGGAACAAAGCCTTCAACTGAGCGGAGAGGCATTGCGGGTGAGTCCCCTTGCACCTGCATCCAAGCTGCTGGTGGTGGAGCAGCAGAGAGGAGACAGATTTTGTAAGGTAAGTGACTCCGGTGTGGCAGGAAGGAAGGGGGAAGTTGTGAGGAGTGTGGGGGTATATGGTGAATGTTGCAGTGCCACTGCAGTCACTCGTAAGGACGAACGACTGCCATGGTGCTGCAATATTTGTAATTTTGGGACTTGCTCGTAAACACTAGAGAGCACTGATCGCATAACTTCGAACACTCGTAACTCAGGTTACCTGTATACGTGCAATCTATAGCCAAAGTAAAAACAATACACCAACAAAAATCAACATAGCCATTGTATGGATTGCACATACATGTGGATCACTAGGTCCAATGACAGTATATCTGAAACACTACTCCTGATTAGTTCATTTGGAAAAAAAAATCCCACATATCTCGAATACAGCATATTATATTTTAGATGGGGGATTACAATTTTATAAAAACAGATATAAAAACAGATTTAACATAGCAAAGCAGTTGGAATTAATGGTCTATTTAATTTTCATATCCAGCTTCCAGTCATGATTAATCTATTTCCAGCCATGTCTAATTAAATACTAATCGGAAGCACTATTCTAGACTTTCTCAGAACAATTGATTTTTAAAAGCATGCTTCTTTGATGTTACATGGTTAATAGTGATTTGACAGTCTTGTCATCTATGAATTTATGATAAGTTGGAATCTATCATCTCATTATGTGGCAACTAATTTTATAGATGAACATCTTAAATATTCATATTAAATACATCATTTTGACTATGCAGATCCCCCTTCATTCAGTGTAAGTGGATGACCCCAGATTCTACTAGTAAATTGGGGAGAACCCACTACCTATTTAATTTCATCATAGTGCTTTATAAAATTCTATCAGGTCTTCCTTTTTTCTATTTTTAATTAAAAAATGAATTGTATCCTAGTTGATTAAAATGCTCCAAAGTAACAGATCTTTTACAAATGAATTGCATAAAGGCATGAGCCACAAATAATGAAACTAATAATCATAGGCCTTCTTGGCTCATGGGAGCAATAGTATACTAATTTACTTTAATTTATTTCATGTCTGTAAAATGATGAATAATACATTATAATTTAAACATATAGTGAAAGGCAGGAAAGCTTTAAAAAGAGCTAAAACCATTGTTAGATAAATATTATTATTACGAAAAACAGATTTTATTTTAAAAAATATAGAGATTCTCATTTATGGAGAATCAAGATATTTAGGTACACAATCTAAAATTAATGAAAGCTTCATAATGAAAATAATTTTGAGGACATTATCCATAAAGCAATATAGTGTAACATTGCTTACTTTGTTTCATGTAATGTTCTTTTTCTAAAGCGCAGAGGTGCTGTGCTTAACCCTGGAAGAACAGGATCCTTCTTGTAAGTATCTGAATTTCCATTTTGCTCTGGATCACTTATCACAGCTCTAAAAAAATACAGAATTAGTTTTATCAAATTAAGATATAAACCTATTTCATTTTTTTCAAGTTTTTTAAATTGTTAAATTTTACAAGTTAAATAAGTGTTGTACAATCAGAAAAATAACAATAAAATTACTAATACTTTTCAAGTAACATAAAAGTGCTTAAATTGTACTATATACATTGCAACTTTTCTAGATTGCACTGATAGGAGTATAAATACACTATACATTATCATCTTTGTTAGCAATACCCAAGTATTATGAATATTACATATTCATATAAATTGTTATCTATCTCATAAAGTCTAATGTTGGAGTTCACAAAAACATGCAAGTGTCAGATACTACACAGATCTGCTTCTGATACAGTGAACACAGATATCCAGTACACTATGTGATGCTAATGTATAGTATTGCTCATGCACTGTGATTGTTCAAAATGTGAAGTCTAAATATTTTAATAAGATGATTATAGCAGTCCTTTCACCTGTTTTCTTGACCTCATCCATCTAGGTGTCACTTGAACCAGCCCAGAGTAGTTGGCTGGTAGATCCAGGGAGTAGCGAAAGCATGAGGAACTGGTGGCACCTAATTGTCTTTCCACTCCTTAGCCCTCTCTGGATCCAAAGCATTTGCCAACTGCTGCTAAACTACAAATACCTTCTGGGCAAGGAAGGATGATAGCGGTGTGAATATAGATGTTTTTGGATAACATCATTAGCTCAAACCCCTTCAATCTGAGTTCAGGCATAGTTTGGGGAAAGAAGCAATCAGCCATTCTGACAAATAACCCTCATAAAAACAAAAAGACAAAAATGTGTGATTCTTTTGATCCTGATGGATCTGTCAATGGCTAGGATATCTTTAACAACATTCTTCTAGGCTTTGAATTGGGCCACAGAGAATGATACTGGGTATTATATCTTAGTCTAAAACTATGCTTGTTCTTCCCCCAAGATTGGGACAGAAGGAGATTAGATGCCCAGGAATGGTTTTTTTGGCTGTACTGGACAAGGATGATTGAGGCATAATTTTGTTGTTTCTATTACTGTAATTTTGATTGTTGTTGTGAGCCACTTAGAGTTGTGTTTTAAGTCTTATAAATAAATCAAACAAAATAAATAAACAAGTCACACAATTAACCAAACAGCATGTAGTAAGCAATACTGTTGTCTTTTAATTCCCCTTTATAACCAGATATTTGATCTTACAATTTAGTTCCACAAATTGGTCTCATATTCACTGATCCACTGAACTTTGATGTTCAGAGAACTATAAAGTAAATAAATCAGCATACAACAGATGACTTGTGGGAGGATGAGGAGAAATGGAACAAATCTTCCCAACATATTTAACATCTTTTTTGCTCCTCCCCCCCCCATCTATTTGCTACTCAGCTACTGTGATATTTCTTATCACATGGAAGCATGATTCTCTGCTCTTCAAATACTGGGTTCACATATTGTATTAAATAACAATGACATTTGTTTAGGTTTGACTTTGTATATCAAGTAATTCCAAGTAACCCACTGTGGTTTGTAAACAATGGTTTATGAATTAGCAATGGTCATCTTATTTTTACCAGCAAATTAACTAGATATGTGAAGATGACCAGAAGCAACCACAATATTATGAGAAAAAAGGGGCTACTTTGATTCAACAATATAGTTTTGTATGTACTTCTGCTAGTTCTGAACCATCTTTTTCAAAAGAAATACATAGCCCTGCTATATATTAGTACTTTTGTAGCTAATTAATTGGCATTTTATTATCTTACCTACACAATTGATCTAACATGACTTGTTCTACCACAGCTTGTTTTTTTCTTTCTGCTGCTACTTCTTCCTGCAAAATAACCATTGAACAGAATAAAAATACTTTTTAAATACTTTCAACAGTATTGTTAAAAGTGCAATAAATTTAGCATTCTGTTTTTTTAAAAAAATATTAATTTTCCAATTTTACATTTAGGTATTTAAAAAGCAACGTGGTGACTGGGTTAATCAATAATTCGATAACAAAGTCTTTAGTACAAATCTCAAGTTGCAACATCAAATATTTCTTCTCTTTTTCTCTTAACATTTACTGTCTCGTATTCAAGCTAGTACAGTTCTTATTATATCAACTCAATAAGAACATCATTGTTACATTTATCAATAAATTTTTAGCATATATGTATTTTAATTACATTCAATCTTCATAAACAATCCATATCCTGTTATTAATTTTTACCCAATTTTTAGTTTCTCATCAATATTCCAATTTAACCCTTGATATTTATAAATTTCAAGCCTTAGGTAATTAAAATTTCCCTTATCTCAATTCATAACAAAATCTAATATCCAAAATACACATTTTATCTATTTGAATATTGTTCTATTTCCTAAAAGTTATCTATTTCCCACCATATTAAACCATCTACTTAATAATACAATATCCCCTTTAATAAATCAAAACCATTATGTATATTACCTGGGTTAATCAATAAATGAAACATATCCATAATAATTAATTTTCTTTTTCCTTTTAGGTCTAATTTTTAAATATTAAACAGATAAAGTCCTTATTTTCAACTAATTTCCAAGTATTTTAAATCTAATGGCCAGAATTCCTCTTATCTCAACTTCTCCCTTTAATCCTCTAATTAATAATGTGAAATCCTCTCTAATAAGTCAAAACCCCAATTTTCTTCAACCTTATTCTGGCTCTCTTCCTTTGCCAACTAGGCTTCCATATCGTGCTTTTAGATGGTCAAATAGATCTCCCTTTGTTATTATATATGTTATTTGAAATAAAGGAGACCATTTAATTGCCATTTTTTGGGAAGAACTAGCCCATTTGTAGTCATTAGGTTGTCTCCCTGTTATTCCAATTCCCCATGCTTGGCCTGATATGTTTGTCTTCCATTCAATCTGTTCTTCTTTTTCAAATTTCTTCTTGTTTATATAGAAAGTCATTTCCATTTTCAGTGTTGTCACTTCCTTTTTTGGATTTTCCATCGGCTGTATTTGTTGGTCAATTGAGTCCTCTGTCTTAATATTTGATTGTCCCATTTCTTCTGTTATCTTCTGCATTATAGGTTCTTTGATTGTAGTCAAAGTTTGGGTTTGTGTATCTAAGCTGGCGTCTTGATCTTTTATGTTAAGTCTTATTTTATCACAAGCTAAAAGAATGGTTTCATGTATTGCTTTCAACATGGAAAGAATCTTTTCCTGATCTCATCCATCTTTCACGTGTTTATAGTCTTTCTAGTAAAAGATGTTTATCAAGCAAGATTTTATAATCCAAGGTATTTCAACATCTCACATAGTGACCAATATTCTTCAAATAAAGAGATAGGAAAGCAGTTTCCCACATATAACTCTCTGAGAGTCAGTAAAGGTTTACATTCACAGTTCAAGTAGATCAGTTATGCTGCCCAGCTGTTCTCCTACAGCTAAGTCTCTCACAGGTGGTACCAAGTTCAGAAAGGTTTTATCTAAGGTCTGGGCTTCGAGCCAAATCTCTTTTATGAAATAACAAGTTGTATTACCAAACTTCGTCACAAGATGTCACTGATGCCATTTAAGGTTTTTTGAGTCCAAAATTTTTATAGTCTTTTTTTCCAATTTTATTTCTTTTTTGTAGATAAAAACAAGAGTCTCCAATAAAAAGTTTCAAGAACATATAAATCCAATTAAATTAAAGTTGTTCTTTTAATGCTTTAATTCCCCTGGGTAGTCAGACGCAGTTATTCTTAGAGGGTGGGATAGGAAATCCCTTCCCTCTCTCCTCACAGGGGGAAAAATAATTCAGGCAGCTTTTACAGGAAGAGAAAGTACTTAGGGTAAAGAGAAGATCAGATCTCACCCAGTTTCATCTGTGTTGCTTTCAAAGTACTTGGTAGTAAGTTTGACTTCGGCTGTCTGCAGCCTAATGACGGGCCATATTACTATGGCTGGTCTTTCCTCACCAGTTTAGAGGGCTTCCCCGGATCAAGCGGAAAAGCTGCTGCCCTCCTGTGATCAAGCAGGGGTCCCCTCCTTGCTCATCGTCCCTACAGGGTAACTTTCGACCCTTTCCAGAGTCCCCCAGTGGAGCAAAAACAGATGCAGAAGACAGAACTCGCCTTCTGAACATCCGGAGCAGCTGCCTCGGCAAACCGGAAGATTTAGCACTCTTAACAAGAAGCAGTGAGGACTGTTATTTTAAAAATACAACAGATATAAAATGCTGCCTTGTTATTAGATTTTACCAATAATTAACCCAGTATCTTAATCTATGAAAAAACATCATTTTTATTGAACTGCATTTAATTTAAATAGCTACAATATGGGCAGACTTCATCAACAGGAAATTCTAAAAATAGTATCACTTTTTTTTCAGATTGGAGTCAGACATAATTACTTATCCTAAACTGTGATTATAGTAAAATTTACTCATTGTGTATTTGTTAAAAAATTGCACCAGGAGACTCAGGTTCTATTCTACCCACAGACAGAAATCCTCTGACTGACTTTGAGAATTATTTTCTCTGAAAATCACCTCACAAAGCTGTTTGAAGAGAAATAAGACATAGCATTATGGACACTGCCTTGCTTTTCTGAATGAAAGGAAGAATATAAATCTAATAAAGAAATATTTTAATATCTATTCAGCCATCAATCTATGCATAAACATGAATATGCTCACTGACATGAAACTGATTCTATGCCACCTTGATACATGTTAAACTCAGAGTTTCAAATTATTGAAGTAATGTTTTGTTTAAATTCTTAATGGAAAATAAATTTTTAAAATAACTCAAGAAGACAAATATCTAATACATCTTCCTCCTCCTAATTTCCCCACAATAACAATCCTTTGAGGTGGGTTGGGCTGAGAGAGAATGACTGTCCCAAAGTCACCCACCTGGCTTTCATGGTTAAAATGGGACTAGAATTCACAATATTACACTTTCTAACCTGGTGCCTTAACCACTAGACCAATCTGGTTCCATTTCATTTGTGCACAATAAAAAATTATTATATGTGTACTTAAACTAGAAGGGCACTATATCAAGTGATATTGAGTTAAATTTAGTTATTTACATTGCTTAATTATAAGAATATATGCTAATTTTCTAGCACTTTAATTTATCCTATTAAACTTACAACATCCAATTTTCTTATGCTATGCTGCATAGTGTATGGTTTGTTTGTATAACCTTGCTGTAAAAGGGCTTTCTCATCAAGAACTGTGAATTCATCCATTCTTTGATTTTCTGATTGTAAATCCTATATAGAAACAAAACATAATATTTGGATGAAATTGGTGATTCCAGTGAGTGTTATCACTATTATTTATTTCATTTTAATTCATTGCTGCTAAAATGTGCACAGGAAGTAACCTATATATATTTCCTATATCTAACCTCCCTTCTTCAAAAATTCAAAAGAATATAAATACTGAGACATTCATAAGTCTTGTATACAGCAATTGTTTCTATTAAAATAAATAAAAACCCATTATGCAAAACATTTTAATGTTATCTCTGACCTTACAAGAATTGCTGAATATTCACATAACTAAGAAATTACTACAACCATATGGAATCAGAATAGCACACAAGCCAACTAAAGTCTTTCAAAACATCCCAAGCAAACCAAAAGACCCAGCAGCCCCAGAAGAAATAACAGGAGTCATCTACAACATACAATGTAATGACTGCAACAAACACTATGTAGGACAAACAAGCAGAAGGCTGGCAGAACGCATCCATGAACACCAACTAGCAGTTAGAAGACATGCTGAAAACTTTTTAATTTCACAAGATATGGACAGACTTAACCTTAGTTTCAATTGGGAAACTGTGACCATCCTAGACTAAGCCAAGTCCAAAAACGCTAGGGAATTTCTAGAAGCCTGGCACCCTGACAAATTAGCCATCAATAGGCATATAGACATAAACAATATCTATAGACTATGCAAAAGAGACAATCATCAAGCCAAAAAGGGAACAAAAAGACCTAAGCACTTCACCAGCAATCAGCTCCTAGATAAGCATAGATTATTTTCAAGATTAATCTCAAACTAACAATCAAGTAAACAATATCCCAATCAAGAAACTGCCAAACAAACCAACAGTAACAGCCCAACCAAAGAACCTCTAAGACCACCCTACCAACACTGACAGGGCAAGGCACTAGAACATAAACTGAGAGCAAACGCAACTCCTTACTAGCACTGATGGTGTAATAGTTTGAGTAATAAAATGTCTGCAAGAAAACAACCAAGCCCAGATAGCAACCCTCAGATCAAGGAATCAACCTGAAAGACTAAATAAGCAGCAGTATGGTAAGATGACTTATCAGTATAAATTCACAAATCACCAAGGACAAAAATGAGAACAGCAAATTAGCCAGGCAACTATATCCAAATTAAAATGCAAAGAAATGGAACATAGAACTATAAAACAAAGAGAAAAATACAATGAGTTTCAAAGGGGAAAATGTAGTTGAATAGGCAGATGTTGGAAAAAGCAAAATTTGGGGGGGGGGGGGAGCTTAACTCCTACATTAGTCCATAACAAAAATCTATCCTCTAGATCATCGGTTCCCAACCTTTTTTTTACCCCACGCCCCTAGAACACTTCTGATAAATTCTCACACCCCTTACAAAAGTTTGAAATAACAGCAATAAATTATGCACATACACTATAATTTTAAAATTTCTAAACCCAAGTTTTCAACCACCTGAAATATCGTTTCACACCCCAGGGGAACCCCTGCTCTAGACTGTCCATATTATGCCTTATGCACTACACTTGCTTTAGTGAAGCCAATCTCCTTACAATATTTTAGGTAGAGTTGTTACAGTACGTATGGGTAATGTATGAACATTACCTTTTTTTCAGCTATCTTGCCTGGAAGTTCATGAAACAGGTTATTATTTATCTTCTTTTTCGCAAGTCTCTGAGAATACTGTTTATATCCCTCTTTCATTTCTGCTTCATATTGCAGATATTTCAGCTTGTATGTGTCTGTTGGGAGTGGTAGATTTTCCGGTATTGTTTTTTGCTCCTTTGAAGAAAGCTGAAAATAAATAATCAGAACAATAATAATTGTATGGTATCTGAATTGATTAAACATAACATTTAAATATTTATCAATTGCCCAACTCAAGGTTGTTCAGATTTGCAGAGATGCAAGATGTAGCTGCAAATCTGAAACAAAAAAAATGAAAATGTAAAGTTATATTTTTTACTAATAGGATTTGTTTCAGAGAAATAGAAGAAATATACAAGTATCGCAATCATCAATACAAAAAAAGTTCATATTTGTTATTTTAAAATGTGATTCATTGACTTAAATTATTTACCTCAATTTTCTTCAGCTCAGGTCTCCTTGCTGCCTATACAATAAAAAGGAAAGAAAGTACATATTTACACTATTCTCTCCTCTAAAAATTCATTATTTAAAGTAATCAACAAAGTGTGATATCTTTTAATAATGAAGAACAAAATCAGAATATCTTAATATTAACAATATTAATTACAAATCCTATGTTTGTATTTAAAAGTAAACCCTATTATACAGGGGAAATTATTTCTAGGTAAGAATAACAGAACTATAGAGCAAAATACAATTCTAACATACTGACTGTGATTCAGAAATAACCAGGTAGTAAGATTTCCATTTTTAAATTCTGATATCAAAATCTAGTAATCTAGGAGAAGGTAAATGTGGACCATTTTCATTGTGCCGTTCACTCAGATATTTTATCATAATAAATGGTTCTTTCAAATACTGGCCTCTATTAACCATACATAAGGTCTTAATACTTTTTATGGCAGAGTTTAAAAATAGGATTCTAAAAATGAATATAATACATTGATAGCATAAATAAAACTCCATACTGGATCAAGATCTGGATGGGGACATATGTAGAACAATAACTAAGATCACACTATCCAAAATATTATTTAAAAATCAAGGATTTTTTTTAAAAAATCAGCACATTTCAGTTATTTTCACTAATAAAAATACCAAAGAATGGTAACTGCTATTTCAAAATAAACAAATTAGGTACTCCAATACACAAAGCACTTATACAACTGTCATTATGACTCAGGAATTTGAAGCATAAGAGCACCAAATAGAGCACAAATTGAATCTATCCTATTTATCTTAAGACCATAACAGATCCCACAGCTGCAATGGAATCAATCTCTTTTTTTTTCCTCACAATATTTTCTAATTTTTACTTTCTCATCTGCTTAGGAATTTTGAAGAAATGAAAACCTATGCGTTATTCTGTGATCATGTAACTGTTGACTATTATCTTTCTTTAAAAAATGTTAATAATTTTAAGTACACTGATTCATATATTTAGATGTGATTTATTTCTGGAAGAGTTATCATGCTTGAAAATATTTCCTTCAATAAGCCAACTTACCTGTTCTATATTATGATACAGTGTGTGAGTACTTTGTAATTGAGTGGCCCCCCTAAAAGATGAAGATAGACGTGGAGGGCCAGTGTAAGGTCGTTCAGCATTGTAAAGTGAGCCATTATCCCCATCCTAAAACATAAGAAAGCATTTATTTAACTATAATCAAATAAACTGGACTTTCTTAATTTTTTCTTGAAAATGTTTTGCTTCTCATCCAAGAAGCTTCAGTTCTGAAGGTTCTTGGATGAGAAGCGAAACATTTTCAAGAAAAAACTAAGAAAGTCCAGTTGCCTTTTGAAAAGCACCTTTGGGACAATCATGATCTGGATGACTGAGAATCTCCACAGACATGTAATCAAATAAACTCATCTAAAAAATTCAGAAAGTTTAGATTATTCAGATAATGGCAACACATCCTAGTAACCCAGCACCAGTACAGATAGGCAAATTACTTAAAGAGTTTTCTTGCTCAGATTTGCTACTCATCAATATTATTTTGATGTGTAAAGAATTTAATCACAAATCAGACATATACAGTATAATGGATACCAGGTAATTGTATCTAAACACTGAAATTAAAGAATTATTTGGTTTTTCTTTGTTTTTAATTCCCTTTACTTTGAGTTAAAACCAAGACGAAACCTGGGAGGCAGTGGTAGGATTCAGCCAGTTTGCACTCCTGCGGCAGAACCGGTAGCTAATTTTTTGTTGCCCAGGCCCAGAATGGACTTCCAGAAGTGTCTGGTTGTTCGCATATTTGAATTCCACCACTGCTTATTATGGGCTTGTGTGCCAGGTTGAATATGCACACAGATAACTAAAAAGCTACATACAGGTAGTCCTTGATTACAACAGTTTGAAATTACAGTGGCACTGAAAAAGTGACTTGTGGCCCTTTTTCACACTTATGACCATTGCAGCATCTACATGGTCATGTGATCAAAATTCAGGCACTTGGTAACTGACTCATGTTGGTTGCAGTGTCCTGATATCATGTGATCACCTTTTGTAACCTTCAATGTCAATGGAGAAGCCAGATTTCACTTAACAACCACATTCCTAACTTAACAAATGCAGTGATTCACTTAACAACTGTGGCAAGAAAGAAAAATGGAGCAAACTCATTTAAGCAATGTCTCATTTAAGCAACAGAAGGATTGAGCTCAATTGTGGTCAGAAGTCGAGGAATACCTGTATAAGGAATATCTTAGCAATAATTGGAAAATGTTAAATAATTAATAATAATGTATTAAATTTATATGCTCCCTATTGAGGTCCACTTTAAGTTGGACTTTGTAATACTTGAACTATGGGTTTTGTAATATTATTGTGCTGCCAAACTAACATGGGTTTACCTTCTTAAATTTAGTTTACATTTTGAGCATATCTTTGTAAAAATGGAATGCTGAAGTTTTCTCTTGGCAACCAACTTGCTGTAACTAACTGCAAGATAAGAACTTTCTTAGGCTAAATGGCAAAAGGCTTTCTTTTTCAACTGAGCATGTTAGGAAGTTTAAACTTAACTGAAATTCTATTTTTTCACAATCGACTCTATGGAACTCACGATTTGTTTTCCCATGCTAATATTTTACTTTTTTTATATACTTTAATACAATGCTATTTTCTATGCTCACATATTATTGGATGTGTTAATTCCTATGATGCAATTGGACAGATGATTATTTCTAAACCAATCAACTTTTAGAGGTTCTTTGTTGTGCTAACTATAAAATGTAAATATAAATCATTTTTTCCAGATCCTCCCTTTCATAGGGAGACCCTTCTTTATCAGAGTACTCTAAAACTTTTAAATGATCTCCTGACTTAGTAGCTTATTAGAGAAAGTAAGCCGAGGTAGAACGTACAGCCAGATTTGGCCATTACTGTGAAATTAGGGTGAAAACAAGCAATCATGGTAGTACAATTGCTAATTTGGCCTAAATTGGGCATTATTATACTTAGTAATTCTTTTTTCCATACTCTGGATAAATCTAATCTTAATATCCAAATTGCCATTATTAACAGTTACTTTTGTTCTCAGAATGCATAGTACTTACTACACATTTGTCTAAGTCAGTGGTTCTCAACCTGTGGGTCGGGACCCCATTTGGGGTCGAATGATCATTTCACGGGGGGTCGCCAAACAACGCAGTCTGCCATTTTTTTCCCCTTTTCCTTAGCTGTGCTACTCCCTTTTATTCTATTGGCTTTTTAAAGCCATTAGAATAGACTCTCTTGAATAGAGTCTAATTCTATTGGCTTTCAAAAGCCAATAGGAATTGTCCAGGCTGTCTCTGCCCTACTGACCCCACCAAAAGTCCCATTCTGCAAACAGTGCTGCACCAGTTGAGTAGTCCTCGACTTACAACCGGTTGAGTAGTCCTCGACTTACGACCGGTTGGGGGTCGCGGCATTAAAAAGGTTGAGAACCACTGGTCTAAGTTAATGTAAGTTAACAATAAGATGATAAAAATAAATAAAAACTATGGCATTCCATGAGAATTGTTTTCATTTCTGTTCCAGTATTTACATTCTAGCAACCGTCATATTTAGTATTTGTATATTTTTAATAATTTCCAAAAGAACAAATAGCTATTACCTCATCTTCTGAATCTCCCAACTTTCCCAAGTCAAGACATGGCACCCTATAGAGAATTAGAAATTTAAAATTATAATACTTACTTGATTTTTAGATGTCACACAACTTTTTCCTTCAAAGTAAGGTTGATGATTTTTAAAAATGGATTAAAGAAAAAGAGCAGACCATTTTTTTTCAGGAAGTAAAGTAGACATGCTTTCTCCCGTTTTCAGTTAGGCCTTATATAGCTTTCTTGTCAGCATTACTTTGCTGCTCACAGTCTCTCTCACGTACACACTGTGCAAAGCTTCCCAGCACTCTTTAACAGACTGGAGACCCCTCATGTGTATCAGCTGGCTATCGTCCAAACTCAGGATTATGCTGGCCAATGCTTTCTCATTCTTTCTCCAGTCCCCATCATCCAGGGCTGCAGATGGATCAGTAACTATTATCCCCTTCGCAGGTACATCTCCATTTTCAGACACCAGGAGAGGTAGTTTGTCTCATTCAGACGAGATACTATGAAACCTCCTCCCATTACGCTGACGAGTCCATGTTGCCTGCTACCACCACAAACTACCACAAACCACAAGCCTTATCTCCTCTGGCTCTGGTTCAAACTCTCACTGGGCCCATAACCTGTCAGAGCATGCACAGTCTTATTGTGCTGAGATAATCCAGGAGTAAACACAGTAAACAGTGGTTTGTATTAAATGGTGGTTTATCTTACACTATCTACAATATCATACAACAGGAACAATATACATACACATGCTAATATAGCAGAATCCAACAAACCACAATTACAGCAGGAAACGGAAGACAGAGTACACATCAGCAGAGCCTTCCATTTATACAAATGCTCTTAAAGAGACACAAACCCTGCTGAGTCATTCTCATCATTACATTACATCTTACATCTTACATTACATAAGCTGGTTAGCTGTTAAATCAATATCTTAACATAAAACTCTCAGTCCCACCCAACTCTTTCCCAAACATCTTTAGGTATATTTCCGATAAATATATTTACATAGGTTTGAGCAAAATTGTTTTTACACATATGCAAATATACTTATAAACTTTACAGACAAAACTCTAAAATAATATTTTATTCTATAGAACTAAACATTATACTCTGTTGCTCCTAACTTTGAGTATTACTTCTTGATCTATAAATATTAATGATCTACATTGCTAAATAATTAAGTAAAACAGAATTATTATTATTAAATTACGTTTATTTGCTGCCCATCTCACTAACCTACAACAATAAAAATGAAGACATAAAAAGGAAATTTAAACAAAGGAAATTTAAAATAAGAGAACAATAAAATAAAACAATCGAAGAATAAAATAAACCAAGAAAAAGAAAACAGAAAAAAATAGATCAATATGTCTAGCTAAAAATAGATGAGCAAGTGAAGAATACTGTGTATGCTGCTTTAAGTTACCAGAAGAAAGGTGGGATATAAAAGTAAAAATATATTTGAGGAATTCTAATATTAATCAATTTTACTTTTCAAACAATTGCATCTAGCCACAGAACTTCATGCATATGGAAGCAAAGGAATGCCAATTTTTGCCAAACTCCCTTTGAAATCTGCTACTTCAAATTAATATTAGCAAATTAATGATTTGCTAAAATGATTTAATGATTTAAAGGCTAAACAGGATAATGATTTAAAGGCTAAACAGCTTATGTAATGATGTAATGTAACATAAGGTGCATGTTGCGATAATAGGAATGACTCAGCAGGGTCTGTGTCTGTGCCTTTAAGAGTCTGAGTATAAAAGAGAAGGCTTTGCTGGAATCTTTCTTTCTCATCCGTTTCCTGCTGTAAGTGCTGTGTTTTGGAGTTTGCTGTATTACCACGTGTATGTATTTTGTTCCTAGTGTATATTGTAGATAGTGTAATATAAACCACCATTTAATACAAACTACTGTTTACTGTATTTACTCCTGGGTTGCCTCAGAACAATAAGACTGTGCATGCTCTGACAAGTTATGGGCCCAGAGTGAGGAGGAACCCAGTGAGAGTTTGAACCAGAGCTAGAGGAGTTGAGACTTGTGATTTGTTATGGTTTGTGGTGGTTTGAAGAAGCAGGCAACATAGTTTCCATCAGCGTAATGGGAAAAGGTTTTGCAGTATCTCAGCTGAATGAGACAAACAACCTCTCCTGGAGTCTGATAATGGAGATGTACTGAGAAGAGAGGAGTTGTGGATGATAGTTACCGATTCACCTGCAGTCCTAGATGACGGGGACTGTAGAAATAATGAGAAAGCATTGGCCCACATAATCCTGAATTTGGAGGATAGCCAGCTGATACATGTGAGGGGTCTCCAGTTGCTAAAGAGTGCTGGGAAGCTTTGCATAGTGTGTACATGAGAGAGACTGTGAGCAGCAAAGTAATGCTGACAAGAGAGCTATATAGCTGAAACCGGGAGACAGCAAGTCGACACATTTCCAGTCTATGAGAAAGACATTCCTAGAATTACAGGAAAGAAGGATGTCTTTCACTGAGTCACATAAGGTGTATGTGGTGCTCAGTTAATTGGACATTTCATGGGATGTCCTAGTGGCAAGTTTAGAGTCCATGCAGGAAAAGGACTTAACCATGAGTTATTTGACTGGCTGGTTGCTGGAGGAGGAACAGAAACATCTGGAAAGGCAGCAGAGGGAGAGTGACCACAACGCTCAGCCCAAGCCTAGAACTGCTATGTCCTAGGGTGCCAGCACAGTAGCTGAGAAAGTTTGCATGGTGGAACACTGCTTCAAGTGTGGTTCTACAGAGCATCTCCAGAGACGCTGTCTTGAGAGGAGAAATAGAGTAGCAGCAAAACAAGATCCTAGAGCTACACAACCAACATTTTTCCTGGCAGCAACGTTAACTAAGAAAAACACTTGGTTATTGGACGGTGGGGCAAGTCAGCATATTGCAAATGGCCCACAAATGTTTTCTGAGACCAGCTAAGCAAGCATTTGTTAGGTTGGCTAATGGACAACAGTCTGCTGTTAAAGGGGAAGGTAAAATTTATGTACCTGGTATTAGAGAATCACTGGATAATGTATTATATGTGCCAGAGTTAGACCATAATTTACTCAGTATTTCGAGCTTGGACAACATATGAAGTAATGTTTGCAAAGGGTCAATACGCTATAAGGAAAGATGGGAGGATTTGTGCACAAGGTGTTAAACAGGATTATTTGTATGTACTAAAAAAAACAGCAGGAAGGTTGTGCAGGAACACTCCCAAGCATGATAACTGGTACATTTATTACACAGAAGGCTAGGACATGCAAGTTTTAAAGTGCTGCTGAGAATGCCAGATCTAGCTGAGGGACTTAGAATCAAACAATGCAACACATATTTGGATTGTGCTATTTGTAAGGAGTCAAAGTCTAGTATGTATCCTGTAAATAAGAAAAGCACGAGACAAACTAACAGAGTTTTGCAGTTAGTGCATGCTGATTTAAGTGGTCCTATGGTGCCCTCTCTTGGAGGAGCTAGGTACATACTAGTCTTAGTAGATGACTACACTAGGTATGGGTTCTGTTACTTATTAAAGAACAAAACTGAAGTTCTACAACAGTTTAACTTTAAGCAATGGGTGAACTTTGTAGAGAGAAGGTATGGCCACAAGGTATATCAGCTACAAACAGACAGGGGAACAGAGTTCATGTCTGATAATTTCCAAAGATGGATGAGAAATGTAGGCATAAAGCATAGATATACAAATCCTTACACACAGCAGAAAATGGAGTGGCTGAAAGGAGAAATAGTATATTGCAGACCATGAAGGATTCATTGCTAGCAGATGAAGGAATGAGTAACACATACTGGGGAGAAGCTATAAAAACATCCAACTATTTAGTGAACAGGGTATGGAGTGTTGCTATCAATGAAACTCCATATTACATGTTGTATGGAAGGAAATCTTCATTGGCTCACCTAAGGACATTTGGCAGTTATGCCTGGGTGCATATTCCCAAAGGCACCAGAAGGAAAGGACAGACAAAAGCTAGGAAATTTAGGTTTGTGGGATATGAGCCTGGTTCCAAGGGATATAGATTTTCAGATGGAACAAAGAAGGTAGTGATATCAAGGTCTGCTAGTTTCACAGAGCAAAATAATTGGAACAGGATGCATGCTAACACTAAGGTGTTCATGCCAACAAGTAGAGTTAGTTTTCAGGAAGGAGAGGCTACACAAAACCCAATGAAGGAAGAATAGGATAGCAGGTCAGAGATAGTAGGGACAGATGAGGATAGACCTGAAATAAAAAGAGAAACAGAAACACATGAACATGTGATCCCAAGAGGTCTGAACGCAGCAATAAAGGTGTACCTCATGATTGATTCACAGCAAGTGGGGTTAGAGCATATAATGTAAGGTATGAACCCCATGATTATCAAGAAATGTTATCGTTAACTAAAGTAGAAAAGGATAAATGGAAGGACACAATAATGAACTGCAGTATAAGGCAGCAATGTATACAGAGAAAAATTGTTCAATTGTTCAAGCCGATATGTTGACTAAGCTTTAAATGGAGGAAAATGTAAATGTAAAAGCATTTGGTTTAACAGCTGTTTGGCTTTAAATGGGAGGAGTGTCAGGATAATGATTTAAAGACTAAACAGCTTATGTAATGATGTAATGTAACATAAGGTGGCTGATGCAATAATAGGAATGACTCAGCAGAGCCTGTATCTGTGTCTTTAAGAATCTGAGTATAAAAGAGAAGGCTTTGCTGGAATCTTTCTCTCTTATCCGTTTCCTGCTATAACTAGTGTGTGTTGGAATTTACTGTATTACCATGTGTATGTATTTTGTTCCTAGTGTATATTGTAGATAGTGTAATATAAACCACCATTTAATACAAACTACTGTTTACTGTATTTACTCCTGGGTTACCTCAGCACAATAAGACTGTGCATGCTCTGACATAATATTAGCAAATAAACAATGTGACATTAGAGTTAAAAATATTGCTTGAATATTTTAAAACACAGAACTTTCAACCAATGAAACCTTTAATGAGACTATACAATTTCTGAATCTGACACTACCACCTACCATTCAGCAAGTTTAATTTCATCAGTAAAACATTTGACATGATTTATAAAGCATAAATATGATTTGATGTCAGAACATAGGACACTTCTCAGCTCTCTGCCAAACAAAATGTGACATCCCTAGTTCAGAAATATTTTAAAGGAAAAACATGTCTTTTGAACTGTTTGATTTGTTTCATATTAATATTATATTATATTTGCATAGAATTTTTTTTAAAGGAAAATACTTACTCTGCTGGTCGAGGACCATGGCTTAATCTTGTGTTTGGCCTCCAACTCTGAAAAAAGAATACAAAGCTTTTGTTTATTTATTTGTTTGTTTTCATGTTCCTCCATACTTAATGAAACTCTGAATATAAATAAGAATAATTTTTTAAAAGAAACAAAGAAATACCATAAAAATATTAAATTTACTATAGTCTAATCAAGGGGAAATCCAAGGGAATGGAAGCTAGGATTTTAAAAGAGTTTGGGTCAGTTCTGTTGTACTTTAACTCTGTGTAGAGTTTGGGTCAGTTCTGTTGTGTCAGTTCTATAGACAAGTTTGTCTATAGAAAGTGAATTTATTTATTTATTTCAAATATTTACATAACCACGCACCTTTTACCAAACTCTGATGGATTCTTTTTTAATACAGCTAAATAAAAATTAAGATTATTTAATTTTGTCCTGAAGTATGGTATCCAGAGCCCTGGGAGGTAACATAAATATCTCATGGGGTAGGATAACCTTCCTCCTCCTTTTACTATTTCATCATATTTTCTTATATTTTGGAGATAATCTATAAATATTACAATATACATATTTCTTTCAAATTATTTGGGAAAAAACATATCAACTTGCCCTTTCAAGCAGATAGTTGAACAAGTACTTTGGCTTGCTATTTGAAAGAGTAAGTTCTGGGGCTCAAATAATACACTCCTTCACACATCAACACTCAACTTCACTGGGCTTCACCCTCACTCTACCCCAATGCTTGAGCTTTTCAAGGCCCTCTAAAGGGCTAGGAGAGGAGTTCTTGCCAGATCTCAGTGGGAAGGTAGGTATTCTGTAGAGTAGGGTCTAATAGAAAGAAGGTGTGTTTCCTAGATCTCACTTAATGGCAACATTTAAGGGAAGGAACTTAGAGTGTCCCCACTCTACTTAACCTGGTGAAATGAGAGATAACGTCAGTCAAAGAGTTTAGGCAGGGTTGCTGCTAAACTACAGGGGGAAAAATAAGCAAGAAGCAGTTCATATTGATTCCTTGGCCCAATCTCACAAAGTCTCATATATGGCTATGTCTGAAGCAGAACTCCTAAAGGCTAGCAGAGACATTTGGATAATAAGAATCACTCCCCCAGCCCTACCTCAGTGCGATGCTCCAAACCAGGAGGAGACACTTTGTTTATTAGAGAGGGAATTCTCAAACAGACATACACAACAAAACCAGGTTTTAATGATGTATACCTGCGGTATGGTTTTGTTTCTCTGTAGTTAATAGATGCATACATGTTTCTGATCACAAGGCACAGTGATTTTGAAGTTTGCATTCCGTAATTCATAGCTTTATATACATATAACTAATATACATCATTTTTAAAACTTTGACTTAGTTTTATTTTAATTATGGACATTTATTAATGTTTTAAAAATTAACATTCATTTTTCAATTTTGTAAACTTAATTTTAAATTTACCTGAGAGGACAGTAGAACTTGTCTTTTTGGAGGTGCTGCAATTCCTTTAATCTCCAAGTCCATCTGAACTGTTTATAACTTAAAATGGAGCTGAAAAGTAAAATTATAAAGGTGACTGGTGAGGGAAGATCAGATCCAATAAGAAGAATTTCAACAAAATAAAAGAAGTATTTCTTTCACTTTAAATATATTTTCTATTGAATTGAAATTCTGTTCAAAAGCATTGAGCAGAATTTATTACAAGGAAAAGTTTCAATGAATGTCATTTTCCAATCCCATCAGAAGCTTGCTACAGTAATTTAAACCAGTCCTGCATGTTGGTGGCTCTGAAGACACATATTTTTTAACACATAAACCAAAGTTTAAGTAATTGAGAAATAAAATATTACAAGATTTTGCTCTTAAAGTCATATAATAAAATACTTATAGGTACAATATCTACAGAAGACTGACAATACGATCAGAGATGGATGATCAGCTAGAATTTATACCAATATTACTTCAATTTTAGAAAAGACTACAGCCACCCACCATATGGTACTAGAAAAAGTATCTGCAGCCACAATATGGCGCTAGAGAAGATGTGGCTGTTTTAAAGAAAGCCAGGCAGATCTGTGTTCACACCTAGGTATGTTGAAAAACTCCTCTCTAAAGATTATAGACCTATAATAAGCAATATTCATATTTTTACTTCAGCAGATATGTGTGTGTGGATGGAAGGAAAAGGTAGTACAGAGAACAATACAAAGATACTGTAGAGTTTTCTCTAGATTCATTTTGCAGAGTGCCTGTTTCAAAAGAGGAACAGGCAGAATTGATCAGGAGGCATAGGAGAGTCAGTTTGGTGTAGTGGTTAAGGTGCTGGCCTATAAACCAGGAGCCTGGGTGACTTTGATCGAGTGACTCTCTCTCCATCCAACTCACCTCCCAGAGTTGTTGTGGGGAAAATAGGAGGGGGGAAGGAATATTATGTTACCTGGCTTAAGTTATTTAAAAATAATTAATATCTGACTTGCATCAAAACTTCAAATCAGAAGCTGGGGCAGCAAGAAGTTCTACCCCTTAGAAGTCCTGCTGAAAGTATCCATATTTTCTCATTCAAAATAGAACAGAACATAGACCTGTTTTCTCGAGAACTGGCTGTCAACTGACTTCCTAGCGATCTAAGCCAAACTGAGGATTTCGCGGATAGGAACCAGCTCAATATCTATCAGACAAAATCCCTTGTACGCCGAAAACACGCAGTGTGTTCAGAGGCAGACACTTCCTTATACGAGTTGACCCTGCTTGTTTCTGTAAAATAACTCTTAACAGCCGTACAAAGTCAGGAGAGCGAAGGGCGAAATAGACATCCCCAACTGTTTTCGCCTTACAGCTAGATTAAGGAGTCGCAGGCTTGTTTGTTTTGTTTTTTAATGGCAGAATATTCGGCCCGCGTCTGATTGCCTCTCCTGAGGGACGCGCGCACGCCGCCATGGTTGCCAAGGTTCCTAGTAAACAGGCCGAAACGCTTTCTTTTCCCCCGCGTAACGCTTTGAAAATTAGAAAGTGACCTCGAAACGGGGAAGAAACGCGAGTGACCGACCCCTCTCTTTTCCCACCTACGTTTTTCTCGCTCGGTCCCAGTCGTCCAGCTATCTCTCTCGCCGTCTTTTTCGTGTCTCCCGGAGAGTTTGATGAGCGTTCTCTAACCAGGTTTTCCTTTTCCTGATTTCCGTCTGGTTTTTGTTTAGGAAGAACCTGTTTGCTACGATGTACGTTTCTCCCAAGTTCTGCTTTCTTCCGCTTAACAGGACTCCCAGTAATTTCGAAAATCATCAAAGGGCAGCAGATTGTGAGAATTATATTACACCAGTGTTTGTTAATCCGTAAAGATTCTGTTTCATGGGTTGGTTTGGATACTTTTTACAATTCGTTCATCTTTTAACAATTGGCCGTTATCTGGACCTCAGTGTGGCAAATGAATAATTCTGGACAGACTCAGCTTCCTCGTCCTTTCTCTATTTTTGTATGAATAATTTTATTAAAAGAAGATTGTACAAAGATTTTAAAAACTACAGAAACATAGTAGAAATAAAAAAAATATTATAAAAGAAAATTAAAATTAAATAACAAAAACATAAAAGCAACAAATTCTGATCTTTGCAGCAGTTAAACATAGCGAACAAGCAACCATCTTCACTGTCATATTGCGTATCATAGTTACCTTCTTCCCATAAGCAAACTTTTTAAACAAATCCCAAAATCAGTTCATTTTTATCCATTTTCAGCAAAAAGTTTATAAAAGATATCCAGTGTTTTATAAAAAATAGTTGTAGTTCCTTTCCTTATTCTTTCCCCAGAGTTTCTCTAAAGAGTAGTAAAGTCGCAATAAATGCCAAATATGCTGCAGCAAACCCAGATGATCCTGTTTTTCATTGCATAAATCATGAGTTACACGGACTATTGCCAGTAGTTGAAAGCAATCCTCCACAACCTGGAGTTCTTTATGTATATGGATTTCAGCTCTCAGAATTCTCACAAAGCCTAGTTATGAACAAATTGGTGTGAACTTCTAACTATATAGAATTTCTCCATGATGACAGATCTCTAATTTGCACCTAACCCGTTCCTTTAGGATCTAAAGTTTAGGTCTTCACATCTTCACTCATTGCCACTGTAACTGAGTCCATCCACTTGACTGCTGGTCATCCTCTTCTCTTTCCTCTTTTCCCAGCATTAAAACTTTATTCAGACAGCTAGGTTTTGGTATGTGTCCAAAGTAGGATAATCTGAGTCTGGCTATTTGTTCATATTCTATACATTGGGAAACCATTCATACTGACAAAAGCAGCCCTAAATTGACTATATTTTTAGTTCTTAAACTTAGGAAGGGGTGTAGAAGAGAAATAATCCATTCCTAATTCATACAAAACCATTCTGACTGATGTACAATACTCTGACTTATCTACCTCATGCAACCCATAATTTGATTTATGCAATTAAATTGTCTACTGATAAATAGTTTATATACCACAGAATGTGGCTTGGCTATATTTATTATCATTTTCAAGAGCAGCTGAAAAGATACACCATATTTTTAAAGAAGTATAGTACTGGCCTACCAATTTACTAGATATTGCTAGCAAACTCCATGTCAGATTTTATACTAGAAATTGTGTTTATTGGAGGGGAGAATGTTTTAGCAGTTGTATAGACAGGCCTTAGATCAGGCCAATCCACTCTCATCTGGGTTTAAATGAAAAATATGTTGCCAGTGTTAACTTTCAATAAAGGACAAAATACCTCCATTATTATCTAAAATTAAATTTTCTACTATGAGACATACCTCTCTAACATTCTGACAGCTATTGAATTTCCCGGCAATGGGGCACTGTTGACAAATTGCTGTTATGGATATTCTCCAGAGGCATTACTGACCTTATTTTATAAGCGCACCACAATGAAGTTTAAGGAAAGGATTCTGAACAAACTCAATGTCACAGAATTTCTACAAGATGGGAAATTGCCCTGGTACATCAATTAATTTAAGAATATCGAAGAGCTTTATAGGGATTCAATTTGCAATAAATTATGAAACCAGCTTTGAAAAAAGAATCTACCCTTATAGAGTCTATGGTGATGTTCTGCTATATGACTTCTACAGAAAATGCCATAATACTTATAGCAACTATTCTCACATTATTCCCTGAGAAAACAGATGGAACATAAGTATATCACTACTCAGAGCCCCTCTTTGAGGGAAATGGGCAGTTTAGAAAAATAAATAAATAAATAATCAATCAATCAATCAATCATCTATAAGGATTTTGGAACTACATAACATGGTCAAACTTGCATCAATAGCCTGAAAAAATCACCAGATTAAATGACAGCAATTACTAAATTAAGCACAATAGTAGCATCAAGGTAATGTGGTTGGCAATTCATCATATAATTAGCTATCATAATGCATACATTATATTTAACTGCTCCATTTTATATTTTCAGTACTACTCAGTTACCAATAAAATCTAAGACTTATTGATATTTAATGTAAAGAAATATAGTTTGTCTCAAAGAAATAAACCTGTTTCCACTGTTTGAAAAAAAAAGAGAATATCAGAATTAGAATCCATACTAAAGTTACACTGAAATGCAAAGTAAAGCAACTGATAAGATTCCATATTAGTTGCAAATAATTTCTGCAGAGCCATATGACATAAACTTACAATATTATTTGTGGCCCTGCCCACACTTTAAAAAGAATCTGTGTTATTAAGATACTGGGTAGAATTTTCAGTGCAGTATATGCAGAGATTATTTTATTCAGAATAAATAGAAAATGTTCATAAATATATCATTTTAAAACATACAGCAGTTATGGTGAATATATTTTAAAATTTTTAAATGTGTTGTATAGTATGACAATATTCATTACAATTCGTTCATTAGTTCCTAAGACGTCTTCTTAACCCAATATTTAATTCTGTTATATCTTGATTGGTTATTTCCATCTTCTTTGGTTTTTCCATGGTACTAAGTAAGTATTCATGATCAAAATGCTGATACTTTTTTATACCATAAAACTCTTCCATATCTTCAAATATGGTATCATGCTCACATTTTTCATAAATATCCTCATCTATTTTTGCTTCCAGATGTTCGCTGAATGACTGTATTAGATCTTCAAGCTTCTCTTGGCATGTATGGTGGCTAATATCTTAATACACACAAGAGGAAATTGGAACACAACATTACAATTAGGTTCCTGTTTTTGCAATTAAACCAATTTACTACCAGAAAATTAGAAACTTTTGTTTTCCTTACAATAGAGAGTGCATTGCAATAGTTTGATAGATCACCAGTTATGTTATCTATTAAATCATAAAGCAAGTTGTTGCAGTTTACTCAAAAAGCAAGTTAATAGGTCATATATAATATGGTAGTTAGGTAGCAAGAAACAGTAAAAGCTCTAGCCTTGGCTTGGGACTTTGAAATAGATAAAATGGAACAAGCCAATTCATATGCACAAAAGAATATGCAGATTATTGCAACACTTGTTAGAGAAGGAAAACCTGCTTAAAAATAATGATCAAGATATCTAGTAGTACTTTATTAGAGAGTGTAAAATCCTCCAAAAGTACCTTGTGGTTTCATGGCTGATTTGTCTAATCCACTTTCTTTCATCAGCTTTCTAATGGACTCAAGTTGTTCCATAATTTCATCTTTCTGCTCAAAAGCCAAAGTATTAATACTGAAAAGCCAAAAAGCTGTATCAGATTTAATTGATCAGGACAGAAAATAATTACAAATCCATTAAAATAATGTTGAATTATTTTGTATTATTGGTAAATTTAGATCAACCACATTAACTATATTTTACTTAAATGAAACTAAAATTCAAATTAAGATTACATTGCTCATTTCTAATCAGCCACACACAATATTAGGTGAAAATCAGTCTAATATAAAATTCATTATATTTCTATTCACTGTGTTAAGTTTTTCAAAAATAAATACAAATTATGTGCTCAAAAGAAATGGTTAAAAAGCAGTGATGGCACCTTTAAATTCTAATTATTCCTTTTTACCCCTAAAAGGGGTAAAATTGTCTCAGTGAAATATCAGTTGTAATAAGCATTGCAAAAAATAGGAGAAAATATGCCATCCGTGATATATTGGCATTCTGTTCTTATTTTAAGTTCACAAACATGATCTCCCAGATCTCGTTCCCATATCTGAAGATAAACAACATAACATTTAAATTAAATGCTTTGATTTAATCTATTTGACTCACCAGCTTGAAAGTGGATCTAACTGAGTCAATAATGAATTTAACATTTTTTCTGTTTGTGCAAGATGTTGCTCCAATTCCAAAAGTTGATGCTCTAAAGTGAGAATATACACTTTTTAAAAGCTAGCATAAATCAAACATCTTTAAGATTAAACAAAAAAGTAAAGCAACAGGCAGAGGTGGAAGTATAATAGCTACAGTTCTATTCAGATTGTAGGATCTGAAAAAATATTTTTCTAATAAACACACATGAAGGAATTCCTACTGGGTTCTAAAACAGACTGTTTTATGCCTTAGATCAGTGGTTCTTAACCTGGGCGATATTGCCCCCCAGGGGGCGATTTCATTTTTCAGGGGGGCATTGGAACAAAAAGGGGCAATGTGGGGGCGAAGGAACAAAAAGGGGGCGATATGGGGGCAATGGAGCGAGAAGTTTGGGGGACACTTTTGAGATTTTTTCATACAGTGAATTGCTGTATATCTGTCATACAAAAACATCAGATTGCTCGCTATTAGTGGATTGAATTGTGTTTTCAAATGTTCCTCCAGCTAGCTTCAATACAGAACGCCGTACATATATGAATACACATTGCTTATCTTCATGCGCGTTGCAGAGCAATCTCTACCCTTTTTATATTTCTTTTTGCATCTTAAATTTTACTTGTAATTCAATCATTAAATATTACTGTTTTTCTTTTCGGGCATTTCTTGCAATTGAATTTTGTTTTCAAAGTGGTCATTACATTTAAGTGTCTTGAATAAATAAGATAATAATGAAATATATGTATCACGAAGTTTGGGAATAAAGTGACGGGTGGCACCAAAATTTTTCACACAGTTGACATATGGGAAAAAGATTGGAAATAAATTATTTGCATCAATATGTCCTGAAGACAATTTTAAAGAAGATAAAACAAGTGTTTGCATAAATTGAAGAATTATTTCCTATGTTGTGATTGAGAGGTTATGTTGGGGGAGGGGGGCGATGACAACTTCCTCATTGGCTCAAGGGGGCGATTCTTTCAAAAAAGTTAAGAACCACTGCCTTAGATT